CCTTTAATATCGATAGCGTTTAGTTAGAAAATCAATGTCTTGTCTGATAATTATTCTGCAAACAGTCATTTGATTCCAGTAAGAGTGCCGTGCAATAAGACCAGTGCTCTGCCTCTGACATGACAAGACAATTCAAGAAAACGATCCATTTAGACACGTTGTATGATGCAGCTCGTGGACGGGTGCCCAGACGGTGTACCAGTGGCCGTTACAGGTGGCGCGGTATCTAGTTCCAGGCACGGCAGTTACCTGAAAAAGCAGCCTGTAATTCCAGTAGCGTTGCCAAACTAACCTCCGAATTTGCCATGTCGCAGTTTGACGTAGTTGACTGGGAACTTGAGATAGGTAGAACTTACCACGACACCCAGTTCGGCCGCAATGACCACGTTCCAGTGGTGGTCTTCGAAGATGCCCGCGATGATGTCGTGGACCATAGCGGCCATATCGGTGAAGTCGAAGCTGTGGGAGGCGCTAAAGTATTTAAAGGAGGAGCAGGAGAAGCCCACCGTCCAGTCGGTGTCGATCAGCATCTCGCCGTCCATATCCGTCCAGTCTGTGTCAATGGTTGATGTCTCACGCTCGGGTTCCGATTGTGTCTCGCGCGCACTACCGGCATTTTCGTGGCGGCCGGTTGGAATGCTTTCTACAACGGCGAATGCTTTCAAAGCAACAAGCTGCACCAGCATGTGCACAGTAATTATGTTTGCTGGATGCCTGATTTTATTTCCGCTTCGTTTTCGCGATGTACCAGGTCACTTCCCTTAAGTACACTATCGACATTTGCAGTATACAGTTCGAACGCGTCTCCATGATCCATCTGACCTGTTGTTCGTCTAAACGTCAACACGGCAACGAAAAGCACGACAGTAGCACGCATTATGGTTAACGGACTACAAATAATAGCCCACAGGACTGCAGCATTTAGATGGTCGTTTCACTGCGTACAGAAAGTGGAAACATAACAACCAATTATCGGTGTTGTACAAGTGCAAAAGGTTCGTGTAGATCGGTTGTTGTAGAAGAGGCGTTACTTCGGCAATCCGGTTCTGGAGTCTTGCCAAGCGCTCTTCTGGTGTCTCGTTTCTCTTTGACGAGCTGCAGCAGAAAAACCGTATAAACCCGAAACTTGGGACGCTTCCGGTTGCCGTGTCAACTACTTTCGATAACGCGATTTTTGTTGGTCGAAAACCAAGCGCCATATGTAACTGCAGTGCCACAAAGCTTCCTGCTGTAAAGAAGTTTATGTTGTAACCAATTAACGACCAGGCGACGTTCAGGATGATGTTTGTGGTTGGGGAACAAGGTATTGGTGTCCGTGGAATGATAATGCAATCCTTCTGGTCCGTGCTGTAGAAGATATCCGGTTCTTCGTACCAACCTGTGTAGAGCTCCATTCCGCAGGATAACAATGAGGCACCCATGCTGATAAGGGCGGTTGTGATCCAAATTATGGCGCTGTGCTTCTTAGTTTGCTGGAACAGGCTGTCAAAACGCAGCCCTAAAGCGTCGGTCTTGATTAGCGCCCAGTAAATCAGTCCAAGATTGACAAATGCTGCAGGTCAACGGAGATTTTGTCAGTCAGCTTAATGAATTCCACCAAGTTTTTGCGTTCCAAGCTGGAGAGGACATCCATAGTGTTTGCGATTCCATAAGATAACAGAACTGGTAGAACGTACACCGGAACCATCATCCATGATGGATGTCTGTTAACGGGTGGCAAACCCGCGCTCATTAGCCAAAAAAAAACAGTTGCATACAGGTGATCGGAAGCAGTTTGATTCAATCAAAATATCTTCAAAAATATCGAGCCGCTTAACGGCAATGACTTACGCAAAAGTTATAGGCTATGGATATTTTGCCGCAAATACTGCGGCAAAATAGACACTTCGAAAATGGCATTCTATTAGTCTTAATGCTTTCAAAGCATCATGCTTTCAAATGAACGTTATGCGAAGCCAGCAAAGGTTGTAAAATTGTAATGTACTTAATTCATATTTTTAATGTACTATGTACTGCAGATACTGCCTGTTACCTGTAAGATGGTACTGTTACCTCCTAAAGCCTGAATGTCAATACAGATTAACGCAGCCGAATATATATAGCCAATTTTCTTGTACAGTTCTGTGTGAAACTTGTTTATCTTTTCTCTATTTTACTATCATTATTTCTGTTTTTACTTCTGCTATATATATGCTCGATTTTGATTATTATTTTGATTGTTTGATTGATACTTAAGTTAATCATACGGCACAACGCATATTGTGCCCCTGCCAGAAGAAATCTGGGGGAATAAAGTTGTCTTGTCTTGCCTTAATATTGCAGTTGTGCTGTTTTATACAATACTGATCCGGGAACACTGCTTTGTGTCAAAGAAGTTACGTACATTCTTGAGCGTTAAACTACTGGATAAATACTGGCCGCACGCGGCAGATTAGTTTCAGCTGAAGTCGGCAATACTTAAAGCCTCTATCAAGGCGGCATCTGTTTCACTTCAACTTAACGTTTTACGGGGAAAGATAAGAACCGATAAAACAGCACACGATGGACTTGCCGAGTGCCCGTCAAAGGAGCCGATACTTTACTGGCGCAGAAGTTGTGCTCAGATTGTATGCGCAACTTGAATACTTGATGGCTGAATGCGAAGATAAGCGGCAACGCTTTTTACTGGTAGTCAGATTAACGCATTGGGCAACTACTAACTAGTAAATAATAAGTGATAATAATTAATAAGTGACAATAAGTAAATAGCAAGTGATAATAAGTGATTGTTGCTTTAAAGTTTAAACCATTTGCCACTGTAAGTGATAGTGTTGCAAGTATGATTACAGAATGGAAGTCAAATTTAAAAGCGTATTCGGGTTATCTGCCGCTGTTGGCTGGAAAACAAACTGGTCAGTCCCTCGTCCAGCGCCAGTGCGGAGTCGCGGAAACACGCGGAGCTTCCCCGTCGCATGTCGGCTCTGACCGAAGTTACCGCCAGCATCCCGGACCCATTCTGCACAAATTCAGTGTTATTTCGATCAGTGCGACAACGTCTGGATGCTCAAGATCTAGCTGAATAATCGAGCTAGCTGAATAATAACTGCAAAAAATGACAGATTGCACTTTTCGGAGGGAAACTCGTCTCTACATATGTTTGAGATAAAACTGAGACAGACATGACAGACTCAATAGTTTGTTTCATCTCAGCAAACCTAACTGAAAATAACCTATTTGTGTTGGTGAGAAGCGACTTGCTCTCTGTACCACTTCAGTCCACCTAGCATGAGGCTTTAGGTGTACCTTTTCCGAAAGTTCAAAAATTAACTTTGTTCAAAGTAAGAATCCAACAACTGCGGCAGCCTACACTTAATAGCCGCTCTATATAATAAAGGCCATACCATTTGGTATGGTCTGCAGCAGACGACGCGGAAACACGAAAGAGAAGCCTTTACTCGGAACTCACTGATCGACACTTTTCAAACTAGTCGCCTTGGCGACAGTACCCGTCAGTGCATCAGTAAAATTGGTCGGCGCATTAAAGAGCAAACAAGAGAAGCGCGCGCTACCGAATTTTTGTGGCAAAGTGTAAGTGTGGAAATTCAGCATGGTAGCGCTGCTTCTGTTCTGGGAACAGTTGCTTGTTCTGGAGAGCTAGAAGAAATATTCTACTAGTCTAAATTGGTGTTTTAAGTTCATATGTAAATGGCGTTTAACTTGTACAATTTGGCAATAAAGTTAAAACATAAGGAATACATACGTACCTCAGTTCGCTGCAGTATCGCACCGGACTTGGAGATCGTTAATTTACTGTCTACAAACGTCTTCATGCCGAATCAACAGTTTACAAAGTGATTATACCGGAAACAGGCGATTATATTGTATACATAATACATGACGATTATATAATAGTTAGTTGACTTATACGTACAATTTATTGCCACTCTAATGTACGTACTAGTCAGTGGTCAGTGCGTCACGTAATTTCTTTCAAAACTAAACTGCTACGCTCAGCATTCAAGCGTCAATAGCATTAGAATGATGTACCTGTGCCCCACAGGGAAACGGTGTAGAGAAACGCACCTATCAAATCCAGAAAACACTAGCTTCAGCCTTTTATCATCCGGGCAGGCCACAGAGTTCGCCAAGCAACCGTCAGGGCATTAGCGGGCAGCAATGCATTCCTCCGTCATACGTGGCGCGCTGAAAGTAAAAACAACGGAGGCCGTTCAAGCCCATGCCGGTTGGACGGAAAGGGAGATGATTCACCCCTATGGTGCGGGTGAATCAGAATCATGCCACGGCAGCGTCATCGCGCGACCATTGCGCTCTTGGTGCATGTGACAGCATGACACAAATCCATGATCACACACTGAATTTCGGGGTTCCTGAATTTGGTGATGTTTAACAGACATTTAGTGCAGCATTCTTGTTCCCTAAACATTTCTTGCAAATCTTTGTTGGTAAAACGGTACTTGTACAGATTGGTTGGTTGATTGTAGCGGTATTTGAACAGATTGACGTCTTTCAGTCTGTTCGTTTTATATAAAACAGGTGAGAATCTCGAATGGTCAAGACCACTGGCGGCGAAGAACTGTCAGTAGAGAAATTCGATACAGTTACAGTTGTGTCAGTAGAGCTGGTGACTGGTGTCAAATTGTCAGAGCGTTTTTCATGTCGCTGGTGCCGCTGCCTGTGAGGATTGGCCAAATGATTGCGATCATTTGGTTTCCGATCACAACGATCCACTGGTTGGTGCGAAGAACCTGGTTAGGCACGCTGGGCACTGTTCTTGCCGATTGTTCCGCGTTGAATAACTTGTTGGGTGTTTGTAATTAACGTTTCTGTACCTGCTCGAAATCGGTGTTGACATATTGTGTGCTTCGTAGGGTACACGATTGGATTGGCCAGTGTGGCTCTAGGGAACTCGCAGTCGAGAAGGGATCGAGGCAATTTTTGCGTCGTGTGGGACCTGCTGTTGGCTGTTCACGTGGGGTATCGCACGCTGCGCTAAGGCAGACATGAGGTAAGCCGGGCTCTTTTCTACTCTTTCAGCCGGATGAACGCTTTCTTCAGTTGAAGGTCCAGTCACTGTCGTACTGGTTCTTCGTAATAATTACGAAGTACCAAGCTACCAGCATTATTACTATTTATTAGCTCTACGCTGGTTCCAAGTGGCTTGTTGTTTTTAATGTGATCATGGACGATATTCTACATGTGTGGGATGTATAAAAGAGTATGAGTTAATTCTGAGATCTGTTGACTCCTTGTACTTTGCAGCAATATGGAAAAGGTTTTGGCCACAACGCACGCGACGGTGATGGCGTACGATGATGCAGTGCGCCGCTGGCTGCCGGCGGGATCTGCATGCCCCAATGCCACCGCCAAAGTGCAGATATATCAGCACAAACTGAACTACACCTTCCGTCTCTTCGGTCGCCGTCTGTGGGACCACGCAGTACGCTACACTTCGCTGTTGATTGTGCAGATGTACCAGCGACCGTTGCGGTTGATTTGATGGAGAGCTGGTTGTCCCTTTGCAGGTGGTACTGCTTGACGACGACATGGGGGATAAATTGGAATACACACAGACCACTCCCACCTTCCACCAATGGCGCAGCTCGGCTAACCGGAATGCTCTCCAGTTCGCTAATAAAGACGACGCCGAGGCCTTCGCAAAGGCCATAACCCGGGCCGTTGAAATGCGCAAGGCCGCCAGCCAGAGTCGAGCGCAAAAATCCAGTCCCTATGGAAGCGAGGTCTCACCGATCCCCCAGGCCGCAGGCGGCTCTAAGCCACAGCCGGGCACGCTGAAGAACAAAGTGAGAAACGTTGCAGTTTGCGAAAGTTAATGCGGGGAACTTTCGGGTGCTTTCCACATAGCTGAAACGTTTTAACCCAGTTTTTGTGTTTTAACGTTTAACGTCTTCACTCCACAAGGAATCACTCTTTATCGAGGCTTACAGGCAAACTCAAATTATTAGTGTCCTACAAAAACGTGAAATAATTGGCACTTATAGACTATAGTTAGGGACATGGTAGGTTCGGCACGAGTTCGCTATACGAAAAAACATATACGTCATATACAAGCAAAAAATCTGAAGTTACATCACAACTGCAGGTTTTGCTGGCCACGCCGTCTCCCTCCCCCGAGGCTGCACATCGACGCAGTCAGGCAGACACCATCTCGTCTGCTTCATCATCACCGCGCCTGGCAGCCACCGCGTCGACTCACGCGTCCCGAGCGACGGAGCACCAGTCATCCCGTCGTCGTTATTTGCTGGAATCTCTCTCGCTGTATTCGGCCACTCCCCGCTCCAGTAACCGCCAGCGCCGCGTCATTCCATCACCGGCGGTTCCGTATTCCTCTTCCGAATCCGAGGATGACAAGGGCAGTGATTCGACTTCCTCTGCCGAGGATGGTGTGCCGATTCGTCCGGCTGGCTCCAAGATCAGAAAGCGAAGCGAGCGTTGTGCGGGAGTGCCGGTGGTGAAGAAAACCGTGAAGATGAAAAGGGGGTCGCGTGAGGTAACTTCATAAGCGCTAAAGCTAGCAAGAAAGATTGCTACTTTTACAGAATCTCAGCTCAATCCCTAGCAAGATTGAATGGCTATAGAATTCCGTGTGGTATCTTTCCACACCTCGGTAACGACGAATCTTGCCGGGTTTGTGGCGAAAACACTTTTCCCGATGAGATCGTACCGTTTGGTTTGTACGTGTAGGGTGTGGCACAGCGGTGGGAGCGCCGCTGGAAGCGCGATGGTAAAAAGCTGTTCCTTTGCCCTTACTGCGGGGCACAGGGCCAGTCGGAGCTGGGATGGACACGAGCGCAGTGGGTGGAGCACGTTCTAGGCCCGAACACTTCCAAGGGAGCCTGCGCTGCGTGGCAGGCCGGAGTCGAGCGGGGAGTGTACCGGCGCGGTGCGCTGCCCCATGTAGGTCCCGTGTGGCGCAAGCTGTCGGGCGGTTACACCGGCCACGTGGTGGATTTGGGCGTCGACGCATGGACCGAGCGGGACGTGGAAAAGGGAGCGCGCCTGGATCCGTCGGGCTTGTCGCTGCCAGATGCGGGTAAGATAAAAAAGCGCATGCGATGTGTTATGTACTGCTGGCGAAGCGCTATGGAGTCTTATCATATCCACGCATTTCCAGTTCCAAATCAGGCTCGGGTGAGTTATTAATCTGTTTTTGGGAAAGCAGTTAAGGAAACGACTGTGGACGTGGTACCACATTCGTGTTCGTGCACGAAAACTTTAAATGTCGCGCACCCCTCTCACTTCTTTGCTTTTTTTGGGGCACTCTATAGCAAGCTGATTTGCATAAATAGGCGTAGAAACCGTTTGTGTGCGCAACTTCCGGTCGGGGAAAATGGATGAAAGAAAATTCCAAAACAGTTTAATTGCATTCCGGTGTATGCTGCCGTAATTGGGATTATGTTGTACGAGTTTACGGTGCGCATGTACGTGTTCCCTGTTGTATTAGCGATGACGTATGATGCGTGTTCTTATCGGTAGCCTCCGATCAGAAGCTGCGCTTCGTCGTCGGCCAGCATTCGGCAGTTACGGTGTGATTGAGTTAAAGTGAACATTATCAGATGGCGTTGGCTAAGCGCGCATCCTCCATCGACAGCGGAACAAACGCAAACCCGGATGAAGGCTTTAATGCCGAAATCTAACACACACCGCGCCTTGTGCGCCAGCCAAAAACCAACTGGTCTCTGTAGGCAGCGCAGCTGCCTTACAGAGCCATCAAAACGCATGAAAATGCCCAGACAGGAAAAAACCCAAAACCAACCAATGAGAGAAGGGCTGAATAATAAGCCCGCCCTGACAACATCAAATAAGATTAAAACGAGTAACATCATTGTGATCCTGTAGGTGTTGAGTTGTGAGTGACCTTCGTTTAGGGAAAGCAATAGTGTGTACCTAGGCGGAAGTTACTGTGTTGGTATTCCTGTTGTGTGGCAGTCTGTGTGGTTAGAGTGTGTTTGTGTCACCTGTTGTCTGCGGAAGAAGGCAACAGGAACAACAGCAATCTCCAGAGTTCCTTCTCTGCTGACTGCGGTCAGGTTGGTGTAGTACACGCGGTGCGTGTATTATGTCAATACTAAAAATCTCGTTAGCAATTTGATATCATGTACCGGGCCACTTTCTTTAAGTGTACTTCAGTCGTAGCCATTTCAAGCGCTCCTCGGCTAATACAATTAAATGTGTTTGCAGTGAACAGTAAGACCAGAGTTGAAGTACCCTTGAACAGCGGTTTCTACGCCTTCATAAGCGCCGGCCCACCTGCCAATCATCACCCACTGCACGGCTTCTTCCAAAAGTACAGATATGGTGACATCTGTTTCCCGCTACGCGAGGCCGCCGACACGATGGTGGTGGTGGGCAATCGCGAGACGGTGTACGACTGTGTGAAGGAGCTGAAGCGGCTGGAGAAAGACTACGTGAGTCGAGTGGCGTGTAAGGCCGTTGTTGTTCAGTGTCATCCACCGGTTCGTGATCATTGATTAATATATTATTTTATTGTTGCTGCAGTTAAAGGGCGCGTTAGTGGAGAATGAGAGCGGCACCGGCCAATCGCGCCACGACGGTTCAACGAGTGCACAGAAGGTGCAGGCGGCGCCGACGAAGAAGCAGGTCATCCCGTCCCATAACCCGCCGGCGCGGGACCGGGTCGTGGTGGTCAAGCGCGCTGTGGCGTCCCGTCGAGACCCGTCACCACAGTTAGACCGGATGACGCTGGAGGGCAGCAGCAGAGGTTCGCCGGTCCGCGCAAGGGCCGCCATTTCCCAACCGGCATCGCAGTATTCCTATGCTGGCGTGAGCGGCGGCGCTGGTGCTGGTGGTAATGCAGCAGATGGTCCCGTGCAACAGGTTCGTGTTAACCGTCCACCGCAGTTAGCTCGTCCCATACCGTACTGGCCTTCGCCTAGCCCCCATCCAGTGTCTTTAAATACTCCAAAGTTCATTAAGCAAACCAGAGGCAAAACAATTCTTGCAGAGTGCCCTAACTTTCACATTGCAGAAACTCCGGCACGATGCGAGGACGAAGGTTTCGACGGCCGGCGCTGTGGATGGTCGATCGGAAACTGTAACAACGGCTCGCACATCAGAGTTTGCTACTCCCAATGCGCCGCCTCGTCTGGACAGTGGTCATCAGTCCACCGCGCAACCAACAGTTCTTCCTCTTTCTCAACAGTCCCGTTCGTCCGGCGCAGCACCTACTGTCCAGCAGCCATCGCCGACGCTGGCCGCACCCTCCCCGGCGGCGTATCTGGAGACCGGCCGATCGCTGCTGGAGGGGATGCTCAGTACCACAGTGCGCAGCGGCAGCCAAGTGCCTGCGGCCCTGACCCCGTCCTACTGGTTCCAGCAGGCTGGCATGATGTTCATGATGGCGGGTCTGGCCGGGATGGAACAGCCACCCCGTAGCGATGAGCCAGGACCCTCTGGACTTTCTCCGGCAACCGCCAGAGACGCGAGCCAACAGTCCTATCAGCCGCGTTTAAATTCACAAGGGAGTGGACCAAACGCTGGCGAGCCGTCGGCGAAAGATAAACGCCGGTAACGGGTGTACTGGGATGCGTAATTTCGCATACTTTTTTGAGCACGACGGACTAGAAGGTTTGTGGATGCGAACGGGTAGATTAAGACTGTTTTTCCGATGAAGTCCTGTCTCGATTTTGTTTAACATGGAAATCATTTAGTTCTTTATGGTTCCTCAACTTCTCTTTAGTTAAGGTTTTTCATTGAGCAGACGCACCCTCGAGGCACTTTTAAGTTAGGCGATTTGGGATAGCTACCTTTACTTTCTTCTGTCTTGTTAATGATACCGGTACGTAAAGACGCTTTAGTTATAAATTCAGCCAAAGCACTAACTTTCAGGGCCCTTCTTGTAATCCGCTGCGTAGGCAACGTTTCCCTATGCTGTTTGATTTGGTTTCTCACAGAGTCGTAACTCTTTGTGTTGTGTACACATCGCGCTGAAGGTACTCGTTCTGATCGCTTTTCCTCTGCGCATTAAATCGAGAACCTTCGTGCCAAGATGGGACCCTCACCACACGTGACGGTGCTGTGTCAACAGCACCCAACCCTGCTGTAATCCCGTCCAAATCAGCGTGTCGTTCCCGTGTCGTTTGTTGTAAATAATACCACGGTGGTATACTACCTCTTCACAAGATACAAGATTTTACCGAATTTGGAGACGGAAATAGTGCCCTAGGAAGAATGACTAGATTTGTACCCCTTCAACAACCGGCAAGCGTATACTTACCAGTTACCACTTCTCCGAATCACACGGCAAGAAGGACTAACGCAGCGTGTGTGCAGGAAACGTCCTGCGTTGGTCGGAAGCACGTCGAAGTGGTTGAAGTGATTTTGTTGCACGGAATCTTTTTCTTAACCTGCTGTCTCTTAGTGTAGCCCACTAAAAACACACTAATTTTATTATTCAAATCTGAACCTGTTTATAGTGCGGTATGCTCGCTTATCAGACTCTTATACGGTATACTTCGTATTCATTTTCGAATTTTTGTCAGTGTTTCGACTGCATATACGTAATTAACGTAAAATCTGCCATGGTTCTTCTTGCAATCGCGACATTACGGGCTGTGTACAGTTATGCGCTCAATCTTAATACAGTATTAAAATCTGCCAGGCAATGACTAGGGATGACGGTATCGTCGTGGATACGAGGAATCTTGTTGCCAGTTTGCTTCGACGTTTTTGACAATAGCGTATCTTAACGACATTTACCGTCTTTCAAACCTTCGTTGAACGGAATGCGTGGTATCACAATTTTCTTATCTGCAAACATAAAACACGATATCTTCGTGAACATCTACGAGACCATTAAAATCCGTTTCTGATGTCTCTTATCTCGTGGAATTGTAGACACCTTTTGTTTCGAATAAGTTTTCATATCTCCGAGATTTCGAGTAGGAAGTGATGCTCGCATTAATAACTCGGCAAATTGCGATCAGTACTTTTTAGCGCAAGTGGATCATACTACGAGAATTTGCATAATAATTTCTGCCATCAACCGCACAGTAAAATGCATTTATATGGAGACCTTTACCGATCTGTGTACGCATTTAATGCGGTGGATGTGGAGGTAGATGGGATGTTGCAACACGGGCATGTTATTGACGTGGTCGATGTCGACAAATATCCACAATTCCTACTCGTCGATTTTGGATGCGCAGATCACGAACCGGAGCTCTGTGAATACGGGAAGGTCTTCGAATGCTCAAAGGAACTTGAAAAGATAATGGATGAAGAGTGGATCAAGGGATATGAAGACCATTACGGATATTCCACGCCCGATGTTGAGGTACTGCTGCGCGGTCATCCCGATCTTCCCTGGCAGTGGTTTCCGGCCAAAATTATCCGCTACGTTTCGCTGCGCCTTTACACTCCGGATCACGCCCTGGTAGAAGTAGAGTTTAATGGATGCACTGCCCGCGAACTGCTTCCCCTGGAGCAAATTCGGCTGCGGACGACGGAGGCGGTGCTGCAGAGCAGAACGCTCTTGCCGGGTCATTTCTGCATCGAGGTTGTCTCCGGTGAGAGATATTTAACAACAACGGCGGCGCTGGCGCAAAGCAGCACGGACCGTACGAAGAGTTTTGCAGAAAATATGGAGCGATATTTCCGTTTCGAATATCGGCGCCGTTTGGTATCCGAGCTACGCCAGATGCAACGTCGCCGTGCGGTAATTCCGATCAACATGGACATGGTGAGTGGGAAGTGTAGTTCGCAGCGTTTGCTTTGCCAAAATGTGAATTTGCCGCTTAAAAGTTGCAGCCATGTATGCCATGATGGAAAGTTGATTGCATACTCTTATCTGAAGATAGAAACTGCTCGAAAGTCGAAAACATGTAGACAGAACATGTCACTAACCCGGGCACGTCTGTCTTGCAAAGTTCAGAAAATCTCATATTGTGAGCGACAGAGCATCCGTTGTATGCCTCAAGGACACTGTCATATGAAAAGATTTATGATCAAAGACTTCACAGCTGCGACAGTGCCCAAAATTTCAGTTTGCAACATCATAATGGTAATACAGCCGCATTCCACATACAGCCACATTTGACGACAGAAGGTTATAGTTATTTGTGGTTATCAGCTTTTTGTGGCGATAGCTACTTCACGGTGGTCTTTTCTTATTGCCAAAAAACGCCAATTAGATGGCAAATTTAGTTCGATTAATTGGTTTCCTGCTCTAGTGTATATTCTCCACTACTTCGCTTTGACCATTATTTCGAACGGTTGCACTGTACGAATCAATATTTCTAACACCCAGCACACACATTTACCCGGGTTGGTCTACGGCTTTTACGCTCGGCATTCGAGTCAGCGCAATCAGCCAGCTCACATGCTAAACCGCATGCTACATGCTGCAGCCTACGTGACTCTAGGCCGCATTTCGGTTAGCCTGTTCAAGTAGTCGCCCGCTAGAGTGGCTGTAAGTTTTACCGAGTGTTAGAAATATTGATTCGCACAGTGCAACCGTTCGAAATAATGGTCAAAGCGAAGTACTACAAATAAACGCGTCTATAACAAGAAAACGATGCAAGTTTTATATAGCCGATGTCATGTTGCATTAATGGCGAAGCGGTTTCCCATGTTGGCACTCCTTCAACCGTCTTTTGAGCAGCTTATAATGAGCTCAGTATAACTAGGCAGAATTATCACAAGCGGGCCAGGCAATTCCAGATTCTGAATTTGTTTTTTTTTTCCTTCATTTTTCCTTGCGAGACCATTTGTTCATTAGGCCCGTGATACGTCCGCACACTGCACAGTCAATTGATGTATCTCAGTTCTCATCGCATTCATAACTGATTTCGTGACCTTTTATCCTTTTCCAAAATACACAGCTGAAATCATCCTAAAAATAAAAAAAGTATGAATAATATCAGAGGCTGCCATAAAGACGGCTGTCCGTGGGTATCTCAGCGAAGGGAGGGCGGCCAGATGAAGTCCGAAAGAATTTCCTGTTGAGGAAATTCTGAAAAATGGCGACAGGCGGAATCGAACCGCTGGCTACCGAGTGTGTGATCCACGTAGCACAGCCACTGTGCCATCGCCGTTGTTGGCTGAGATCAAGATTTTTGTGCTTGAGCTTGAGACAACCAGGTAGGCGGCGGATGGGGCGGCTGTCCTGAGGGCAGAGTCTTCTACTCTGACAATAAGCAGTTCGAATTAAGATGCTTTAACAGAATCGTTTAGGTATTCTGCATATTTTCTTCACAAAATGAGCTCTAATTAAATTCGACAAACAAAACGTGTCCTGGTTATCTATCTGATCTATTTGCTCTTTTGCAGAGAGACTCGAGCGCTGATGGTATAGCCTTGCCGGTGGAGATTCTGAAAGAGGTCTTCCTTGCGCTGGGAACCATCGACCGACAGCGCTGTCGGCGCATCTGCCCACTTTGGAACGAGATCATACATCAGCCGGAAGTGTGTGCGGACATTCGTGTAACTCTGGAGGCGCCTCTACCCATTATTCAGATGCCCCATGAAGCCTGGTACGACTATACGGCATATGCGGTATATTGCTGCCTGTTGAAGCATGTATCGTCCGCTACACGCACGATTTGTGTAAGGGAATTCAGTTGGCGCGAAGAAAGAAGAAACCAACAGGACTACGAACGGGAACCCACTTCGTCCCTTGATCGGGTGCTGAACTTCCTACTGAAACCTCTCCTGGACGACGGGACCGTGCGGATCCAGCGCTTGATCCTGCAGCGGCGCCGCCAGATCATACATTTTCACCGCCATCGCTTGTCGGACTGGTTCGACGGAATGGTGAAACTGTATGCCAAATTCCGCTCCTGCTGTCAACGCATTATCTGGGCTAATTGGAGTCTCGGTGTCACCATTAGTCGCAGAGGCCTCACATACACGGTAAGCACGATCGAAGTGATCGTAAATTTAATTTGACAGTCATGACTAACTCTGGAGTAGGCTTGAACTGTTCGCTGGACCTGTTGAGTTTCCACTGTCACAAAAGGTTAATCTTTTTCAAGAAAGCTAAGCAAGCACAGGCCACAGGGAATAGTGCTAGGAAAATGCATAGTTATTAGCCATGGCCGACCCGAAGCGTAACACTCTGCTAACTGTTTTACCTTTTGAATAATTCATGTGTACATCGAAATCACCATTATTTCGCACAGCTGCGCTGTGGGAACCAATAAGTCTAACATCCGCCAAATTGACAGTGGGCAGTTGATTATTATAAAGACTTAGCATGGACTATGGACTCGTCCGTAAAGAACTTTGCAACATTACCGGTTCCACCGCACTTTTTCCAAAGGGGTGTGAAGCGAGAAGCGGCTCACGTACAGCGACAAAGTCATTCAAAGAATTTCAACGTATTGCGCCGTCGTGCAGTGGTACTGCCTACGCGGATCTAACAACGTAGCCGGGGTTCGATTCCACCATTGGCGCCTTTTTCAGCCGTTTCCCGGTTTCCCTTGGATTGCGCCCTGCTTAGAGGGGTTCGGTTAGTTTACTTTGCAAACTGACAGTTTTGTCTGTCCACTGAATCGGAGAATTTCTCGCTGCGCTCCGGTCGACTAAATCAAAAATTAATTCTGCAGGTCATGCTCGGGTGGGCGTGGCCAGAATCAAATGTAATTAACAGTACATAAAATTGGTTATTCAATGGGATGCCACCGGGAGACCGGTGACATTTCCCTGGTTGAGTTCGATGAAAGACGGCACCGAGTGTCACTTGCAGTCACTGTCAGATTAATTCATTACTTTGAGCAGGAATACGACATGGAGTTGTATTTTCCCCTGGCCAAATTCAACCTGGATTCCCTGAATGCGGCACAGTTTTGGGAGCTGTTCGAGAATAACTTGTGCGGAGAGGCGGAGAATGTGGAACTCGTAACAAAGTGGTGGCCACGAAGCATACTTTGGAGGGATTTTATTTCCCGCAAAATAGTGGCAAAGGTAATTTAAACTTATATTAGAAAATTGTCGGTTACTGCAGGGGCTCATGTGAAATTGTGAATTACTTCGCATTTGCTACTATCTTCGACGGTCGGGTGTTCTCGAGAATTTGAAGAGTTATTTTACTTGTTCAAATTATTGGGTTCTTTTAGTTTGAATGTAATGCCTCGTCCCGAATTCGAAGCGAATCTTGTTGCGATACAGCAACTCCACCTCGCGAGGTGGCTTCGCCTACCGTATCTGTAGGCGTGGCCACTGCATACAGCCACCTCGTGCGGTTTAGCAACGGTACCAAAGCTAGATTCGCTTCGAATTGGAGACGCACCCTAAATGGCATTGACATGTACAAGGTTATAATAAATATGTTATATTAAAAATCTTCGACTAACTCCATGGGCGGGTATCCAATAATCACGAAAGTTTCTTTGCAGATTTTAACAAAGTGTCAGAAGGGCGATCCGCGCCCCAATGCGTACTATTCCGATCAGAAATGGACATACGACAATCTGGACAGTGTGGATGTGATGAAGTTAAATAAACTGGGTCTGCGTGTGTTGTCTTGGTGTATGCGCAAAGAGCTTGCCGGGTCGTCGGAAGACAGCGAAGCCGACGAGTCACAGGAAGACAGTGAAAGCGACGATTCATCGGAAGACTGTAGTGAACTTTCCCATAAGCTATCGGAAGCTCTTAAAAATTACTTAAATGCAAACGAAGGTGGATGGGAGCAATAAATAGGCACGAAAATTTCAAGCTGCCATAGCTTCTTTATAAGATTTACTTTATTGGATTTTGCGGTTTCAGTCGTATTGATCTCGAGCGTGTTGACCAGAAATAATTTTTTTTGATTCGCCGGTGCTTGAATGCCTGTTTAGCGTATTTCATGCTCCACCTGCAGCTAAAGCAATAACAGTTCCAAATGAACAACCTTCAAGAAAATTTTCAATCCTGAGTTCAACCAGCGTCAGATAATTGACTTTCTCACAAGATAAAGTAACCTTCTTGATGTCAGTTGTCCATCGCTTGGTCACAGATATGTGGCATGTGTCCGCAACATCCGCATAAAACGATCATTCTGCCTCCCAGTTTTGATTAAACACCTGTTTTGCTTTGTTTATTAAGTACAAGATCTATACTACGCGCGGCGCCCCATAGTTTTGAGATCTCTATAACCATAAAACTTCTGGAGAAACGGACAACGCCATTAGATCCGGGATAGTTCAGAAGTGGCCTGTGTTGTTTTTATGAAAATATCGAGCCGGCTTCAAGCCGGCATCAAGACCAGATTGATCCAACCCATCTTAAAGGTCACCTTGAAACTTAGAAATATTTGCCTAGATACAATACAAAATACCAAGTGACACAATTATCACACTGATTAAACCGAAAAATAAATAAATTATGGTACTTATTCAAACACTCGCGTTATTCAAACATTGCTGCCGATGTTGCCGAACGCGAAACATGTTTAAAATCAACCGATATAAAATGTAAAAATATCAAATATAAAATCAATACGAAAAATCACTGGACGAGTGAGTGACCGAAACACTATCACCGACCACTGAGCGGAATCTCTAGATGAATGGGTGATCGAGCGGGTGACCACTGACCAGTAAGAAAAATCACTAGACAAGTGAGTGACCGAAACACCATTACTGCCCACTGAGCGGAATTTCTAGGTGAGCGAGTCATCGAGCGGGCTTTGCTCTTGCTCACCTAACGGGCTCTGTGCACTGGACAGTAGTTGTAGCAGGGTCACATCCTCACCTAGCGATTTTTCTCCTTACCTAGCGATATTTCTTACTGGACAGGTTGAGCTCGGTCAGTCATTCACCTAGTGATTGAGTGCGTCAAAAAATCGCTAGGTGAGTACGTGACCGAGCTACCACCACTGTCCAGTGCCCAGAACCCGCTAGGTGAAAGAGTACCGAGATGCCACTACTGTCCAGTGCACAAACTCCGTTAAGTGATCTATTGACCGAGCTACCACTACTGTCCAGTGCATAGATCCCGTGAGGAAGATGGGTGACCAGAGCTACCAATACTGCCCAGCGCACAGAGCCCGTTAGGTGAACGCGTGACCAAGCTACCAATACTGTCCAGTGCACAGAGCCCGTTAGGTGAACGCGTGACCGAGCTACCACTACTGTCCAGTGCACGAACTCCGTTAAGTGATCTAGTGACCGAGGTACCACTACTGTCCAGTGCACAAACTCCGTTAAGTGATCTAACGAGCGAGCTAGCACTACTGTCCAGCGCATAGACTCCGTTAAGTGATCTAGTGACCGAGTAACCAGTACTGTCCTTTGCATAGATCCCGTTAGGAAGGTGGGTGACCGAGCTACCAAAGCTATCCAGTGCACAGAGACCGTTAGGTGAACGTATGACCAAACTGCAATATTACTGTGCAAAATAGAGCAGGGCCTGCTAAGTTCTTAATAGGTGACCTATCTAGCACCACTGCCCAGTCTTAGCGTCCTTTTAGTTTGTAATGTGATACTCTCGTGGGTGATTAGATTCGGATGGTTTTTCGCTAAGAAAATTTAACAAAAATGATCTGTAAAGTCAAAGTAATTGCGTTCGACTGCACGAAACCAAAACATCCATTTTTTTATAAAATTTTTGTTATCGGGCTCTTCAGATTTATCCGTTCTAAGTTAACAATCCGTAAACCGGCCAAGGAGTTTAGAACCCAAGAAACGCGGAGGCGAAGCCGAGGCTGTTTCTTGTACGTATTATGATCGCGAAAGTTAAAAACCGTTTGCTCGAAAGAAGTGCGGAACATACTCCAGCCCATATTCTGCATTTTAGAAGCGGTGCAACTGCAGTTAATTTGTCCAGTACGCAGACCGCGAATGGTCCAGCTGCCAGTTTACAGACAATTTGAAAACAAATTGTACAAAGGAAAAAAAACAGCAGAATCGTGGTGCACATAGAAGGCTAGCAGCCCATCGCGGATGCGCTCGCCCGGGCTACGTCGCGCATGACGTAGTAGCGGCTGAGGGAAATGTGCTGAATTTTATTATCCATCATCAGCTCGCTAGTCTGTAACAGAAAGGCGATCAATACTGTATTAGACGACTGACATTTATTTTAGTGTTTGCCGTAAATGTAAACAAAAAGTAATACTCTGGAACGCATTTTACGAACTGATGTACTTGTACTGTTGCTATCAGTACCTTGGCACTGGTGGTTAGCGGTTTGAGGAAGGACCCGTTCAGCGAAGTTAAATTGTTAAACATGATGGTGAGCGTGTGAAGTTTCGGGCGCGCCGATCCGGGCGTGCCTCCCAGCGCGGTTAGGGCGTTGACGGCGATGGTGACAAGCGGTTGCTGTATAACCACAACTGCTCCAGACTCACAAACACCCCGAAGGTCTTCCGGATGATCGTTGGTAAACAGATTTGACTCAGATCTAAATCCATTGGCATCACCCGCACATGGACGAGGAAGTCGACGACGTTGAAGGGAATGGGTAAGCCATCGAGCGCCACACAGATAGTGGTCAGTCTTAGGCTGGTGAGGTTAGGGCAAGGTGGGAGGGTCGCGAAGGTGCAGTAAGCAGCTCGGCAAGCAATAACAGCGGGACATTTCGCCAATCGCAAAGCGGGGGTACTGGCTACGATAGCGCTGAGATTAACTGCGGGTAAACCGCAGACACACTGTTTTCATTGGCTGCTGCAACCCGCTGAAATATTGCCTCTTTGGTATTTAGGTGCTTCGTGTGCAGTGTACCCTTGTAATAAACAGCTAATGTCCCTCGGATCGCGCCCTGCCTAGAGAGGGTTGCAACTTGCAGCAGAAGGTTAGCGGTACCGTCACCCTCGACGTTGGACATCTCCGCAACGTGTTGCGTGATGTTTCGCCAAACGGCACCCGTCCAGTTAACTTCCATGTCACGCGCATGAATGCGGCTTTATAAGTATTTGCGATAGTAGGTGATAGTGACAGATGGCGTATTCGTAACAAAACTGCAACTAGCGGCAACTCTTTATTGAAGAAAATGGCCAGAGAAATGAAAGAGGGCATGTATTGCTCCGGCATCGAAGCACCGCTCACGTACTTTAAGGGGCGACTGGGCATCTGAGGCATCAGGTCAGATTAGTAGAAGAAAAACGAGAAAATAATTAGCACGCTATTAAAGAGTAAAGCGCGTGACTGTGTCAATAAAAGTATGTAATCAGCGCTAGACGCGCTGTTGTAGATTGGTACCGATTGAAGCTTGTTGTAATCTGCTGTTGAATCGTTCTCCCTCGTAGCATTCAACGTGGTAAACACTTTTTTCAAAGCCGGACTGCATGCGCGCTTGTCGCGCTCATTACAGGCCTTCACGAATATTGCGTATGCCGCAGAAGGCCGTAAGCCGGTGATAGTCCAAGCTGTTTCCTTTGTAAAAATATAATCAGAACCGTTGTGATCGATCCTGTAATTCCCGACGAGGCCGATCGAGGGTTCCCAAGTGATACGAATACTGTTACTGGTGATCTTTGTGGCAGTGAGTGCCGTGACGTTGTTAGGCTTCAGCTGCACCTCCAGGAACCGCTTGTCACTCTGCAAGTCCCCTCGCTCGGTCCATCCCTGGATTTTATAACTTGTCCCAGGAACGAGACTGGTAAACTCCACTTCGTACCTGTCTTCATCGTTCGGCAAGACATATTTTGGTGGCATCCCATCCACAGCGAAGACGAGCCTTGTGAAGAGACTGTACTTTGATTTCCAGCTGGTATGGACCAGAAACCTGACAGACGTTTGGGAGACTTCAGAATGTGAGTAGATTACAGCCGGCGGAACTGAAAACAAAAGCAAAGTCAAATAAGACTGGAGTGTGACGTGCTTTTATGTAGTTGGCACTAATGGAGAGTTAGGAGACGCAGATGAAAACACAAACCGTTTTTCTGTTATTCCGTTACAGGAACCACATAGTTACTAAGTAAACAAAATACAGATACAGTATATCTTGAGTTTTAAGAACCGAAAGCGTTTGCGACCATATTGCGAATCAGCCCTCGCTCTTCAAATCTTGTCAGGCTAAGCACGTCAAAAGTTTTGTTAAATTGTCTCAAGACAAGACTGCAAGGGCTGTTGTCGCCTGTCAACTTACTCGAACGGACAACTTGCGACACTTCTTCACTGAGCAGGTCGCAAGCAACAGCCACCACACGGACTTCGTACGTCGCTCCGAAATACTGAAGCCAAATAGAGTAGTTGACAATCATCGAGTCATTGCGAATGGAGATTTCTTTCACCGGCTCATCTTTCACATCCAGGTTCCGCAGGTGCACCCAGTAGTATTTCGTGGCATTCGACGGCCGCTGAATTTGCAGCATCAGCTTCACTGACAGAGGTTGCACGATCAGGCTGGGCTTGAGTGGACCTGCAGTATTACTTAACACAGTAAATATCTGCAGATATAACGTTTTTAAATATCTGTAATATAATAATTGCCTCTTTCTAAGTTTTTGGTTATGTAAAAATTCCCTCACACACTGTACATGCGTTGTCATCTTTTACGCAAGGTTATGCATAATATATGCCGGTTACATAACTGACTTGATCATCAATCGCTTGAGCATGACATGGTTAATAAAGGCGTCCGCAAACCAACATGACTGTTAGCAGAATGCAGAAGAAAGCGCATTTTCTTACGACTGCAATAGGGTGTTACGGCAGTCTCCACACTGGAAACATCCTCCACAACACTCTTCATTCGGAAGGAATATTTCGCGCCAGCCTCTAATCCCGTCACATTGAAGCTCGTAATGCTGGCGTTGGAGACGTTGATTACTTTCGGATCCGGTGGAGGCTTGGTGGCGCCGGCATCGTCGTCGCGTTGGTAGAGAATCTGGTAGCCTTGAACGCGACTATTAACCGGCTTGAACCATTCGAGCATGATGCTGTTGGTAGTCGTCAAGCTGCTGTTGGCCGCAATATCAATTACAGGAGAAGGATCTGCAAAAATACGAAACAGTCGTTCTTATTATGAGAAACTGGTCAACGTTTCCGACTGACCAGCTTCAAGATTTAGTATTCATAGTGCGCGAATAAACCCACTCACACGTCATTCTTTCAAAGTAGCGAAAGACATTTCGACGATTCTGTAACATCCTCACGAAGATTAAATAATGCGTGCCTGTAACAGACAAATACAAGCACTGTAATGATTTTGGTCGACCACCAGCAAACCACGTTTTGCGCACCTCCAACCAAACCGCGGAAGCTGACGCGTTGGCCTGTTGTAAGATTTCCGTTCACAACCCTGTTATCCTCGGAAATTGCACTGCAAGTTTCAACGTGCCAGCAAAATGATAACAACTATTTGCTAACTGCTACTCGCCTATATATGAACTGAACTGAAGGTCATAACATAATTGCCGAAAACGACAAAATCAGACGTAACTGCACGCTCTTTCTGTCAATTTTTTAATAGAACCAGAGGATTAACGGGAATAACACAAGGAAAGCTCGATATACTGCTCAAAATGATATTAACGGTAACGCTGAGAACGTAATGCTCATTCAGCTTACCTAGCTGCTAGAAATTCAACATTCACATCCGCTGTTTCCATCACAATTTCCGGTCGATCAATCAGTGCCGTCACAGACACAGATGTATCCGATGCTACAGGGATATCACATTAAAAGATCTGTCTTGAACTCCGTTTAGTGATTTCTCAGTATACTGGGCCGTCGTATGTCATCTGTCTACCTTTTATTCGGCAATAACCAGTTCTTATAACACTAAACGTGCGCTGGTACAAACTAATTAAAGTCATTCAGCATTTGACAGTCAACACAGAACACGATCTGTTTTTGAGCGTTTTCTTAATGAAACCCGAAGGCAGCTTACCATCACCGGATTCACTGGCAAGATTGGCACCTCGTGAAATCTGAAAAGGATTAACACGGCAGTTAGTTGCTGGTTCACAGTTCATCATTTAACATCAATAAGCGCACAAATTGTCATTTGGTCGGAATGCTGTCACTTATACCATTAATTTTGTTCTTACTGTAATGAAACCGGCAAGTATCCAAATCAAGAGTAATTGTGACGCTGACGTCGAAGAAGAACGCCAAAGATTTCTCCACACCGCACACTGCGTTAACGCCATGATCCTGGCTTGAAAGGGTCAGTGCTCAGTGCCCACAGCAGTGAATAGTCCGAAGTTAAGCCGCAAACAAATCAACCTGAAACAGCATAATTTACGTGACAGAAAATGAAGACAGAATATAGTCAGGATATGCTGCAGGTCAAGTACAGACAACGAAATTGCATTTTCTACTGCCGGAAAATTTCGTCACTATATCAAATCTGCACGTTCCTCAAACCGAATCACACAATGACTCACTGCTGCTTTTGGCGTGATTTGGCCACACTGATTAAGCCGACCAGTATTTGTTTGATGAAACAATCCGCTTTTGCATTTCTTTCCTCCGCAAATAACCCTAATTCGATTAGAATCCGCATGAGAATAAAACAATCGTGAACCATTAAAACTGTATTCACATATAATATTTAAAGGCAAGTCTGACGTCCGTTTTTCAGTAAAAAAGTCTCCACGTGTACAGCTTACGCTGTGGAGTATCGGTGCTGCCTTGCCAGTGGGATAGCGTCGAAGCGATGTTAAATCTGAATGAGCGATAAGATAACTTGACTGCCAAACAACAAGGAGAAATCAACAAGATCGTAAGGTGCGCATCGGCATACATGCTGGCGGTGAACGGAGTAGTTATTCAGGTACACTGACACAGCACGAAGAGATCGTGTACAACAATGCATGCGCGACTTGCCGAACAGTGATCACGCGGCGTTCGGCCGGTCAGTAAAGCAGTGGTGACTGACAGCCGCTTCAGAATGTACCGGAATGTTCTGCGCAAGGAACAGAACTGTAATATAAAATAGCAAGAACAGCTTGCTTGATTGCCATCTTAGTGGAAGCGTCGGTCGATTAGCAAAACGTGCAGTTCGCATTTGCTTAGAAAGATCCGGTGTTTGCGCGTGGTTTGCCGGTAAACCAGTAATGTTGGTCGGTTAAGCCTGAAGGTATGTACTGAGATATTTGCAGTAAACAACAGCGCACCGCCTAGTTTCACTTCATTCACGTCACATTTCACGAAACTGATGAGATTTCTCGACTATTACAACTATCATTTAACAGTGTTTCGAATACATTCGTAACGCTTTTCTACGACGTCGTTCCAATGAACTTTCACCGTTTACGTGTGAAAGCAACGCACTCACAGAGTACAATCTTATTTTACTAGCACAGTAATTAATAACTCAATCAACGGCAGTGCGTCACTTGAACACGTAGTGGGTTTGTAAAGTTTAACAAAAGCGATTTTATAATTTTTACAGGCACGTGTGCATATGCATACGAGCTGTTTGCACTTTTGCCGTGTGCACTTGCACTTTGCAGTATCAAAGTGCTGCACATTTCTTTGGGCGTTAGAAAAAATACAGCGTTAATTGCGATTTCAGCCGTAATTCTAACCTGGGCAGGCGCGCAAGCCTGTATAGTTTTCGTTTTGATAAATTTGATTCTCTTAGGTGTTTGAGCGAATAAAGCGCATCTTGAGCAGCCAGTGAACCACGGGCGTAACCTCATAGAAGCATGGTTAAACAGCATTACAGTGTACAGTTCAACGGCAGTTCGCACCGCTGACCTTCTTGATGTACGACTTGCAACTGTAACTTAACATTCACACTAGAGTTGCATGACTAAATGGAAGACAATCTAAATAAAATTGTAATTTTAATCTGCTGCCTTTAGAGCTGTTGTCTTATGGGTCGTTAATAGAGCATTTTGATCTACAGCAGATTCACTTTTTACTTCTTGGCATCCAAAGTTTTGACAAATTTTGTCAAAGCTGCACTGCGTTCGCGGCCACTACGCGCCATTACGTATATCGAGTAAACTGTAGAGGAACGCAAGCCGGTGAAACTGCAAGGTGTTGCGTTGGTAGAAACTGGCAGAGTGTTGTTGCAACCGATCTCGTAATCCCCGACGATGCCGCCGGGGGGTTCCCAAGAAGTATCGATGCTATGGCTGGTAATCCTAGCAATATTGAGCGTGGTAACTTTGTTAGGCTTCAGCTGCACCATCAGAAACCGCTTATCACTCTGCACATCCCCTCGCTCGGTCCATCCCAGGATTTTATATTTTCTCCCGGGATCGAGACCGGTAAACTCCACAACATGCATGTCCTCATCATTCCGCAAGACATATTTTGGTGGCATCCCATCCACAGCGAAGACGAACCTTGTGAAGAAACTGTACTTTGCCTTCCAGCTGGTCTGGACAGGAAATTTGACCGAGGTTTGGGTAACTTCGATCGTAGACGGAAAAGACGAGTAGATTACAGCCGGCGGCACTACACAAAAAAAAGAATACACGAGACTGTGGAGTGTGACCTGATTTTATGTAGTCCGCACTAATAAAACGTCAGGTGATACGGATAACCCGTCCTTCTGTTATTCTGTTCCATAATAGTCTTTGCATTACATATATATCTTGGTACTTAAATTCGTTTTTTCTCATGTTCCGGTTTATGAGGTACGGTTTCATATTTCAGTCACCAGTTGCTTACACCATCGCTCATGTAGAGCGCTACTTAAATAGCTGTTTATTGCACAAATTTCTTTTTGAGTTGTTTTTGCCTGTTATAAAAAACATTTTAAAATGTTGGAATTTAAAACGGCTTAAAGGTCAACTTACTCGAATGAACAATGTGCATCGCTTCTTCGCTGAGCAGGTCGCAAGCGACAATTGCTATACGAACTTCATACGTCGCTCCCAAATAGTCGATGGAAATGGAGTAGTTGACAACCAATGAGTCGTTGCGAATGGTGATTTCCCGCACCAGCGCATCTTCCACATCGAGGTTCCGCAGTTGCACCCGGTAGTATTTCGTGCTATTCGACGGCCGTTGAATCTGCAACATCAGCTTCACCGGCAGAGGTTGCACGCTGAAACTAGGCTTGAGTGGACCTGCAACATAAACCTGTAATTATTATTTGTGATGGTGAACGCAAAATTAATGTCATCTGCTCGTCTTTTCCATAGTTTCTCAATCAGCATTGATGATGAGAGCCGCAAGAGCATTTACTTACGAGTGCAACCGAGGACAGAATGACTCTCCCCACTGACAACATTGTCCATAAAACTCATCATTCGGAACGAATACTTGGTGCCCGAGTCCAGTCCGGTAACATTGAAACTTGTCGTGCTGGCGTTGAAAAGGTTGATTACATTCGGATCCGCTGGGTGCGTGATGGCTCCGACATTGCCGCGTTGGTATAGGATTTGGTAGCCTTGAACGCGAGTATCGAACGGCTTGAACCATTCCAGCACGATGCTGTCCGTGGTCGTCAGGCTCTTGTTCGCATCAACACCAACCGGAGGAAGCGGATCTGCCAATATAGTCATTTGGGTAATGGCAAACTCTGTTTGTCAGACTGACCATCTTCAGGGTTAATTATACTGCGCCAGTAAACAAACTCGCAAGTCGTTTTCTTAAAGGAGCGCAGAACATTCCGACCGTTCTGTAACAGCTTCGCGTAGATGAAGTAATGGCTTCCTGTAACAGCAAATACCTGTACCGCATTCATGGTCTAAAGTCGGAAAGTGCTATGTTTTACATACCTCCAACCAAATCTCGGAAGGTAACGCGTTGGCTAGCTGAAACATCTCCGTTCACGACAGAATGGTCTTCGGAAGTTGCGCTACAACATGTTCAGCGAAGTATTGACAAGCATTAAGAAACGACTGTGAGGAAGCTCGTAATTACGCACGTAGCACGGATGCCAAAAACGACAAAGCCATACGTTGCTGCAAATTCTTTCTACTGCTGTTTTACTGGTAACTTCAGATTGCCAGTAGTAACAAGAGAAAAAACTCCATATATTTTTAGAAGCAATATTCATCGCTTAATCTTTAAAATGCAGTATCAAACTCACATGGCATTTAGAAATTTGACTGACTCATCCGCCGTCTCCATTACAATTTCCGGTCGATCAATCAGTGCCTTGACGGATACGGATGCAGCCGATCCTGTGGTCGCAGCACAAGAAACGCTTCATTTCAAGCTTGAAAAATTGGCGGCAATGACTCTGTGCCTCATTACCGGTGTGAATGGTCCCTTGCTCGCTTTTACTGTTCAGTGGTAAGTCCACTGTTTTCTTGATGAAGCCCTCAGGTAGTTCATCGTCTCCGGGATCAACGGCATGAATGGCACTGTGTGAGACCTGAAAACGACCAACATCGCTATTAGCAACATGAAAAAGGCTGATTCATAGCTCTGATACAGGTTTCTGCTAGCCACTTCCAAAAGCTACAGTAAATTTTATATATCACTGCGTTCTCAAGGAAAACAGAAATTTCTTCTGCTGTGCTCAGAGTTACAAAAGCTCCAAAAAAAACTGTTAAATGTAGTTAGTTATATTTGCTGGATTGCAAAAATTTGAGAGAACCTTACTTGAATGCAGCTGGCAAGTGTCCAAAGCAAGAATAACTGTGATGCCGAAGCTGAAGAAGACCGCAACACATTTCTCCACGCTACGGAATGCGCTACAGCCATGATTAACGGCCCGTGACAGTTAAAATAAATCCGAAGTTACGCCAAAAACACATCAACCTACAGTGTAGAACAGCATAATGCTTAAGATACAAAAACGGAATATTGCTTAGAACAATTCAACAAACTGCAAGTAAAATACAGAGGCCGAAGTAAGTTTTTACCCACCACGATATTTCCAAATTACACCGACTTGTACGCACAATCACGCTTGTCGAAACGAAAAACGGAACTACACAGCACAAGATATGCATTAAGTACTTCTTTAATATGCGTAATTTGGCTGGACAAAATCTAAAAAGATGATTCCATACGGCCGCACCAGGATCGGAACAAATCAATCAAGCAAAAGCCAGAACAATATATTTCAATACTAAAGCACGTGCATATCGATACCGTGATACGGTTACCATTAAAATTTCTACGCAGTTACAACATTTCAAAGCAAAACTCAACGCCTTACGCTGTGGCTTACAACAAGAAAACCAAACTGCTGAACAACGAAGAGAAATAACCGGCCAAGATCGTAATTCCCAATTCGGCATTAATACTAGCAATAAACGGAAGTAGAAATCTACTTAGGTGCACTGACATGTCAAGAACAGACCGTCTCAAACAATGAACACGCGATCTGTCGAACGATGGTCACGCGGCATATGGCCGGTGAGTAAAGCAGTTATCGCTGACAGGCGCATTAGAGTGCACCGGAACGTTCTGCGCAGCACACAGAATCGTAGTAAGAAACAGCAAGAATACGTTGCTTGATTGTCGCGTAGATGGACTAAGAAAAAGTGCATTTAACGTTTGCTTAGAAAAGACCCGGTGTTTTCGCATGGTTTGCCGGTAAACCAGTTGGTTGTCAAGCCTGAAGGTATTACTATACGCACAGTGCAAGGCCTGTCAATTCTTTATTTCACTGTAGCCTCGACACATCTCACGAAACCGAGGACATTCTGCAACACTAACTGTTTACGACACTCTCCCTCACACTATGGTAATTATTATGTGACTAGAGGTGCTCAAGTAACCTTTACGAACGCTTTACTAACTTACGTATACATACTACGCCTTCCTTTATTTCCATTGGCCGCCAGTTTCCACCAGTAGCAGAATAAGCAGACAACGTGTCAGACGTAATCTGATAATCGGGACATGCAATTAAGAAACAATTATAAACGCTTCGGCCAGACTCAAGGTGCAAGCGAAACGTTCCCCGTTAAATTCAACTGTTTTACGTCAACAATTTCCGGTGCGTCGCGCCTCACAGCAGTGGTTGCCCTCTCCACAAAGCAAGCAAGAAATTTCGCCGGCGTGCGCACTGTCCTCCGATTACATGTGGCTAGAGCGGTAACATAGGATCCACGGTACCGCCTCCCGCGTTGAATATCCTCCCAACGCGTAGTGAGATTAACATCTTCCACTGTCCCGCTGGTGAAGTTGCCACACGTCACCACATCCCCGCTATCAACGTTGTTCTGGGCAGTACTCGGATGGGTGTGGCCGAGAGGTCTCTTCTTCAGCCAGACCCAGAGGTTGGTCAGCTCGGAGCACCGACACTGATTGTTGGTCACGCAAAATATATTCCGGTCCAGGTTTAGGTACGGCCGCCCGCGAGACGAGGCTATACTACGCAGAAAGCGGTTGTCCAAGCTGAAGAGCTTGCTGCCGCACAGCTGCACCGTTTCCACGTTGTGCAGGACGAATGGTCGGTGTTCGGGACTGAGGAAGATGATCTGAATTTGGTCATCGATTAGAAAAATCTCCTGCAAGCAAAAACCAAATACATGACAGAAAATTCACAACATTGATTCCTTCCTTACCTTGATGCTGCGATTCAGCGGTTGAAAAATTGACCAGTCGATCAGCGGCACTTTATTATAACTGATGTCCACCGTCCTTAATTTGGGAGTCCATGCCTTTCTCGCGGGAAATTTCAGCCCTTCGTCCAGCGCGACGAATGCGTCGGCGATCGTTGACAGACGGTTGTCGTGCAGCTGCAGCCGCTCCAGCGCCGCAAACCCGGCAAATGTCTGGCGTGTAATTGAGGGTATATAGATCTTCACCAGTTCCAGAGTGGTTAAAATCGCCTTGACGTTGGCCAGGAAATCCCCGACGGGAAACGGATTTTCCTCGGAATCCAGCCAGACGCTGACCAGTCTCACCGAAGTCAAATTTGAACGCGATGGAAGCGAGCGAAGTGTGCCGAGCGGACAAGTTTCTGCGCATATAATGTTGCCGGATTTCTCGCCAATCACGATGGACCGGGCATCGATCGCTAAGGCCTTGTCGCTGAGATGGGAAAAATCGCAGGAGCAAAGCGTGAGGTCAACAGGACATGTTGATGAATTGTAACTTCGACAAGCCAGCTGCGTGTCATTCTGTTGAACGGTGCCCGTCAAATTAAATCCATCAGTTCGCGAGTTATTTGCTGGGTTGCGCGAGCGCAGATGAACAGTGACAGGCACAACAGAATGGACAGCTGATTTCTGCGCAGAGAATAGAATCGTCACAAGAAATATCAGGAATATCTTGCTGGATTGCCGGGAAATCGCCATCTTAATTAGTGTTAGGCCGATTCAAAAAGTGCGTTTCACGAAGCATATACCGATTGCATAGGATCGGCTGTTTGCGCTTTGATTTGTTGTGAAGTTGCAGATAGACCAGTTGATCGTTTACCCTGAGGGGATACAAGCGCCGCACATTCACTCTTAAGTGGAAATTACTGGCCACAAAATTTTTAAACATTGAACAAATATCTTGATTAAACGCATGATAAGGAGTGTCTGTCCTTAGTATTTTGACCCCTAAAGCTCTATGGATCTCGTAAAAACGCGGAATTTTTCTCTATCTGTACCGTGGCAATAAAGCAGCCATAACGCGGCAAAAGAGTGCGCTTTCAAATTGAGTAGTCCAGCAGCCTAAAAATATAGCAACTGACCGTTTTAAGTTTCGCTTATTTCATTTTCCCAACAAAATAGCTATTGTGTCTCGGTGTATTACTATGAGCCGGTTTTGCCACAGTGCAGAAACTGTTTGTCTGAGCCCTGAAGGAATAGCAGCCTGCTAATTTAAGAAAAGGTGCACAATTTGCCGCTCCAGTTTAGAAAGTCAGGTTTAAAATGATGTACTCCCACGTTTGTTGCTGAAGAACATCCGTCACCATGTTGCACTGTGCATGTTGTACGCTGATCGTGTGTATTGTATCTGGGGCCGAGTTGCAATGAAAGCAATCCAGAATCTACCAGAAAGTATTCAAAAATGCTGAGAAATCTATAGTGCAGGGCGCAGATGGAGCAGCAGATAGGAGGAGCGGAATCTTGCTCCTAATCTTAAACATTATTATAACATAATTAACTGGGTCGTTTAAGTGTTCAGTTCTGCAGACTGGAAAGACTTCATCGACCCGGAGATTTCGGCAAAAAGCAAAATGGATGACGAATTTACGCGCTATGAGCTGTTTTCAGCTTGACGGGCACGATATTCGTTCGGAATTTAATTGTTGAGCACAGCCCGACAGCTAAATGACGGTTAAAAAGTGGGAGAAAACGACGCAGCTGTTTTGTAACCATCCAAGTCAGCCAGTTGAATTAATTACTTATGAACTGTGCCCTTGGTAGCCGCTTCCAGCTCGCCTCACTGCTGACAGAGAAAAATGCGACAGCGCGGTTCTGTATTCAATAATATTTTTGTTGTCCCAGGCAGACACTTATACTGTTTGCGCGCATTCCCGAGGTCGATACATAACTTTTAAAGTGTCACACTTCGTTATTAAAATTTGATACTCAGGCTGAGCGTCCGCGCGCGTGTTTGTATGTGCAAACAGCAAACTGCAAAGGTGTGACTGTGATCGCATGCGTCACAATATGCATGCGCTGTGAATGCAAATAAATCACTTTTGTGTGCGCTTTGGGATGATGATATCACGGTTCGGGCGCAACGCGACCCATCAGTACCGTCCCTTAACATTAGCTCCTGTATGCACAAACACCCACTCAGAACACGGGAAATCGTTTCTGCAGCGTTTGTAATTTTCACTTTCCAGTTCGGCCGAACGGGACAGTTATTACTTCAACGGCTCCGTATGGCGTGAAACAGATGGCTTTTATTGATCGTAAGTACTTTATGTGGATGCCAAACGTGGACTGCGGTGCAGCTATCAAAGTTCTGTTCGGTGTTGTGGCGCTGTTTCGCGGACTATCACCGCCAACAATACATCGCTCGCTGTGGATGATCTTTTATCGCACTGGTATTTCCAATTACCTGCTTATGCACGGCCTTGTCCTGGCTGTTCTGACGGGCTATCTGGAGAAAGATGTCAGTGCTGGAATTGCGACCAAATTTATCCCGACAGAAAATGCGGGGCAACGGCTGGAACATGTGAACTGCCGCACTGCTAAGTCACAAATTGAGATTCGGATTATCAGGGCCGCGTCGAGCCTTTGATTGACGCCGGCTTTTCCACCGCTGAATTTCTCTTGATTCTTTTCCACATTTCTGTTTTATTACTAAAGACTCTTCTCAACTTACTGCCGCCCTTTTCTGTACAGTTGTCCCCCACTACTATACAGGGAAGATGGCAGTAAGTTCGAACAGTCGCCACACTCTCCAAGACTCCAACCAAGAGTAATCGTTACGTCGCGAATACGTATCAATGCAGTCCTTCGTGTAATGTTACAGTAACTTGCGGCAACCTCATGCCATGAAGGCGCTCCAACTTACGGTAACCGTACACGTACATGGCTTCTAGTTCTCCTGGGAATTGCATTCCGACGGATTGCCAGAACTTAATGACAGATGTGCGAAAATTTAAAATACGTACTGTACTTATGATTAGCTTCATCACTGCCACGTTTAATTGTAAGCAAATTACCATCTGGGTAAACTCGGCAATGAGGAAGCTCCTGATTATGTCAGGGAGCTACAAGACCGGCAATCATTAAGCCAAAAAACCCGATGCAACTAATAACGATGATGGTGTATCTGTCAGACTAACCATTCTTGCGGGGTGCATTAGACAACCTGTCTGGTGAAAATGGCAAGGATATTCAGTTGAGTCAAATGGCTCCTGTTTGCGGCGGGCAATTATTCCATCTTTGTTACGTCAGATCTACTCGTATACATACTAGCGGTTAACGGAAGTAAGATCTAGCTAGATACCCTAACACATCAATAACTAATCATCTAGGCAAATAAATGCGAATTGGCGAACACTGATGACGCGGCAGACAAAACAACCACTGAATAGTGCAACTGTACAACGATCACTGGCATGCGCAATAAAATGTGCCGGTAGTTCTGCACAACAAACGGAATCGTGGGACATAAGTCCTGAACATGCAGTGCTTACAGGTGCAGTGACGTGAGTGAATAAAGCTGTTTTGTACGGTTATTTTCTGTCATGTATTCATAAAAATACAACTTTACTTCATCATCGCCGGCAGTCAACTGATGGTCAAATAGTGACCTGCGTACGCACATCTAGGTTGGCAACCATACCGTTGCCAACCGCAAGGTCAGAGTACACCGCACTTTCGTAACAGGTGCCACTACGAACGCTGTCTGGGGCGAGTATCGTTAAAGTAACAATTTCACTGTGGCTAATAGGTTGGTTCTCAGACCAGAATCCTGCCAGTTCGCCTTATTTTATCTCAAGAACTTGAAGAACCAACGATCCAACGTTTCAGCTAGAATCTAGCTATCAGAGAAACGCTCCTCGTTAAGGTTTCAGTTTTTCGACGTCAACCTCTTTGGCGCGGCGCGCATTACAGCGGCGGTCGCCCTCTCCAGAAAACAAGGGGAAATTTAGCCGGCGTGTGAATTGTCTTCCGATTACATTACATGTGTCCGATTTACATGAGCCGTAAGATAGGCTCCACGGTAGCGTCTCCGGCGTTGGACATCTTGCCAGCGCGTACCGAGACGCACATCTTCCATTGCACCGCCTGTGGAATTACCACACGTCACCACTTCCCCAGTTTCAGTACTGCTCTGAGCCGGATCGAGGTGAGTGTAACCGTGCGGTCGCTTGTGGAGCCAATCCAGAGGTTGGTCTGTTCGGAGCACCGACACTGATTGTTCGTCACACATACTATATTCCGGTCCAGGTTTAGGTACAGCAGCCCACGATCGTTTGCCGCCGTAAAATTACCATTTTTATTAGTGTTAGGTAGAGATGGGCATCGGATAGGAATATCCGATTTTATCCTATCCGAATCCGAATTTCGGATAGGATAAAGGATAATTATCCGAACCGTTCGGATACGGATTAGGATAAGGATAACGCCCCGTAGCCTACGGATAGGTTCGGATAATGGGTGCTTGTCCGAACTTTATCCGAGAATGGAAATAAATTATTTGCGTTGTTAACACTTCGTCTACTAGCACGGTTACTCACACCAGAAGTGACCTTATTAATTCAGTAACAAATTTCAAAAAAACCATTTTATAACAAAACTTTTTGGCTATGAGAGTGAAACGGGTCTAGTTTCTGAAAGTGTTGTTTTCGACATACTCGGTGCTACCGGAAGTCCAGAATTGAGATGGTGTGAGTCACCATCCTTTTGGGACATGCGCATTCAAAGGGCCACACCGTCCTGCTGCGTGAATGAAAGGTTTCGAGAAAATCAGGCCTTGTACTAAACAGCATTCGTATGTAACTTGTAAATTTTCAGCAATATATGTTGTGCCGTTGCCCAACAAAAAAATGGGAAGCATTGGGAAGTTTGAGAAGACTGCCCAATGATTCCCGTGCTCGACAAAACGGCATACATGGAAGACAACTGAAGCAGCCGAGAAGACGCAGCGCAGGTGAGCATACCGCAAGCCGGTGCTCTCATATACGGTTGATCTGGGTCAGCTGGGCTGATGAAAGAGATGGCACTGATCTGTTGTCTCCCTTCTCTTTCATCACAAGTAAATCTGGCGCACCTGTCTTACTCTGTTTCTTTTGTTTCCTCCCTTCATGGAATTGGTCAAACATCATGAAAACAAAAGGCACCATTGGACAGAAAAAGTTAATGACCAATCGTGTGCTTCTGGTGGCTTACACCATGAAAGTAGACCTCGTTGCTCAAAACTGCCAGTCGACGAAGTGTTAAATTACCTTGCTCTTGTTGCTCTCAACAGATAATAACATAATACGGAGCATGAAACATGATCGTTAAATTACAAGAATTACAAGCGGTAGCAGTAATACTGAACATAAAAGATTGTCGCAGCACCAAGATGCAGTTGTTCTTTTGTGTTATAGTGCAACAATTAAGCGTAACTGCAGCTTTCGTATCCGCTTTTTGTACGGAGCATGAAACATGATTCACGCATTTGCACAAGTCCATTATTTCATCGTTTTAACGTAAACTTGAAGTTCATCGATATTGAAAATTGAGGTTATAATTTATTATTTGATCCTGTCGATGTCGTGTAACTCTTTTACATAACTCTTCTTCTGAATTAAGAACATCGAAATTTTGTTCAACTGTAACGGATAATTTGACTGGATTAAGACAATCATTTGCCGAGTCTGAATTTTTTGTTTTCGTTAAAAATTGTCTTTTTGGACAATTACCCGATTATACTAGGATATCCGAGTGTCGGATAAGGATAGGATAAGTATAAAGAAATAAAAAAAATTCGGATAAAAGGTCGGATAAGGATAATTTCAAAAAGTGTCGGATAGGATAAGGATAAAGAAACCTTGTCCGATGCCCATCTCTAGTGTTAGGTCGATTAACACTCGCCCTCGTCCATGTGCCTGAGAGGCACATTTATTCATTCAGAAATTCATGGAACGTTGCACTGTCAGTTGACTTCTTCCTACCTGACCTGAATTCCTCAGAAAATTTGTTTGCTTTTCACTTATGGAAACAGTTAGTAAAACTAAATGCACTGAAAACTTTAAAACTACGAATTCCAGCCGCTTCCGGTTGGTGAACAAATGGCAGCCTCCCAGAGTGGCAGCGTGATTTGGCTCTGCTGCGAATTTTTTTTTGCGAAGTCCTCACTTCTTTTTAGATTCAGTTTACCGATTCAAAAGCAACAATTTCTACTTGCGTGCTTAATGAAAAGGAAGAACAACGTGTGGAAAACATTTTGCATAAGTATTAAGTAGCAGACCGTTCTACGCCAGACTGGGACGAACCCATGGGCTGCGCCTGCGCTGCACACAAGAAAACTCCGCGTAATTAAACCATAGACGAGGGCGAGTGTTAAAAAGGTGCAAATCACGGCTGCGAGTAGTATCCTGGTCTGTTTGAACCAGTTTTTTTTGTCCGGGGGGGTCCAAATTTTAGGCCCTAGGGGATAATTAACGGTTTGTGTGTTTCTGCCCTAGGGGATAATTATGGATCACTGATTTCAGTGATCCTTTGTACGACATGGATCACGGAGTTCAGTGATCCTTTGTACAATACGGATCACTGATTTCAGTGATCCCTTGTACAGATCATTCTTTTCGGTGATCCATACGAGTGCAACGGTTGACCACGTACGTACAATACCGTAGCAACATTATGAGGGATCACCGGAATCGGTGATCCCTTCGAGATTATCAGAATTTGGAGGGATCATTGAGTTCGGTGATCCCTTTAGCACAACACATAACCGTGTACGTACGACACCGTGGCAACAGTACATACGTAAGATGATCGAGATCGGTGATCCCTCGGGGTATATAAAGCAGGTGGATTTTTTAATGAATTTCAGTCTAAACACATTTCGCCACATTCTAACAGATTTTCTTGACACAGTAGTCGCACAGGTGTATTTCTTCACAAATAAAATCGCTATTCTCATATTATGGACTTCTCGAGGTAGCGACAACGGGAGAAAGAAGTACCAGCGATCTCAAAACGACAACGGGAAGAGACTGAACCAGCAACATCAAATGATCTTACGAATACGGAAACAGGTAAATTTCTGGAAAATAATCTTACGTAAAAAATGCATGATTATTTACCAAAATATTTATTTTGAAATCCCTTGCATTTGCGTTCCAATAATATTGTTTTGCACGTGTACGGTGAAAACACTGATTTAAAAATATGAAAAAAAAGAATTTACGCAGATTCATCGGATGTCGCTCTCGAAAATATTATTGATCATATCCACATCAAAGACGCCGGTTCAAAAATTTGGAAAAAATTTGGATTGCATTCAAAGTGTTCTTTAGTCAAGGTAAAGCGGAGCTACATTTCTCAAAAATATTTGGAACAAGTCTGAAATTATTTACGAATGGTACGATAATTTTTGTAGGCTTCTGATTTGGAAACGCTTCCTTTTGCGATAGTTCCGATGGCTCTGACGTTGATATTGCAACATGTATTGGACTACGTGTTAGAAGGTGTACATCCTGAAGAGATGGTGCGAGTACGAATCGATTCAAAATCTTTGAATTACCCGATTTGGACACCACCGATTCAAAGATCGCAACTTACTGTGCGCCGTTGGATGGCGGAAGTAGCACGAGTACTCAACACTTACGAAGAATTCCGCATGGACAAACACTTTGAAGTACTAGTTCAACATACTGAGATTCCTAAAGGCTCCTGTGTCCGCGACGTTCCCATATTACTAAAAAAGAGGCTACAGAGGATGAAATCTGTTATCGTGATAACAAATTCCGATTCCATTTGCCTCGCAAGAGCCTTAGTCGTCGGAAAGGCATATGCGGACGGTGATAAATTGCTATGCCGAAGGATAAGACGCGGAGAGAAGTTTCAAACAAATGAAGCAAAAGCGTTGATAAGGAATGCTGGACTGGATGAAAGAGAGTACACAATAACGGATGTCCCATTTTTTCAACAGGCACTTGCGACATACCAAATTATCATTGTGAGTGTAGATCATGCCAACAGGATCGTGTACAGTGGACCTCAGCAGGAAAAACGCATAGTGTTGCTGCATCATAATCATCCCTTTGACTTACTCAATTCGTTGCCGGCGTTTTTTCAAAACAGCTATTGGTGTTATGCGTGCAACAAAGGCTACAATGAAAAAGCTAACCACCGTTGTGAATCAATTTGCAATTCATGCTTGCGTTCTGAATGTGAGGTGGATAGAAGAAACATCATCGAGTGCCCAGACTGCCATCGCAAATTTTATGGTTCCGTTAGTTTCGCCGAGCATAACGTTGCTTCTACCCCCACACAGAAGCAACGGAAAAGCATTTGTCAGACAATTTTTATTTGCCAGCAGTGCCTTCGTGTGGTATCAAACAGGAATCGCAAAGGTACCGATCAACATCAATGCGGAGAAGTGTACTGTCAAACGTGCAAGGTCCACGAACTACCCGAGTCTCATAAATGTTTTATGAAGCCTCACAAAGTGACCGAAGAGGAACTACAAGAGCACAAGAGTGCCAGCTTTCTGTATTTTGATTTGGAGATATATGTGTCAGAAAACCACGAATTGGTGCCTAACCTTGCGGTAAGTGCAGCTCAAAAAGTTCACAATTCGTTACAATTCACAATTCAATTTTAATACAATTCATTTGTATTTTTCTATTAGGTTGTGCAGGACGACGAAGGACACGAATGGATTTTTCCGGAAGAAGGTAGTCCCTTAGGCGGTAACGTTACTGACCAGCTGTGTACGTTTTTATTCAATGAGCGACACAGAGATCACTACATCATCGCCCATAATTTCAAGGTAAAAATCATTTTCCGAAAGATTACGGTTGAGTTAACACATTCATTTTTAGGGATTTGATGGCTATTTTATTTTGCGTTGGTTACTGGAAAACGGAATAGTCCCAAAAGTTATTATGAACGGTGGAAAGATACTGCAAATGGATGTGTCGGAATTCAGTATTCGCTTCCGGGACAGCTTCAACTACAATCCGCAAAGCCTTGCAAAATGGCCAGCAACCTTCGGCATTCGGGACATTGGAAAAGGCACATTTCCGCACCGATTCAATCGTAGAGAAAACTGGGACAAGGTTCTTCCTTTTCCGCAGCCAGAAGAGTACGGATTTTCATGTATGAACAGGAAAGCGAAGGAGTCATTTATGTCTTGGTATGCTACGGAAGCGAAAGAAAAAGGTTACCTTTTCGACTTCCGGAAAGAGATTGAAGAGTATTGTCGCATGGATGTGACGGTATTACGCACGTGCTGCCAACAGTTCCGCCGTTTATTCCAAGAAATCAGCAACGGATTGTGCCCTTTTGTCTCGGCTATGACGATTGCTGGTGTTTGTAATCGGTATTGGAAGTCTTTTATTCTTAAACCAGAACAGATTGGCCTTCTTCCGCAACGTTTACATTCAAGAAATCGGAACCAATCAGAAATCGCCAAGAAATGGTTAGCCTGGATAGAAAAGAAGAGGAGTGCATTTTGGAATCTACCTTGACGGGATCTGAACACCAGATTGGGCCGTTTTTTGTTGACGGATACCGTGCCGATATCAATCACGTTTACGAATTTTACGGCTGTTGGTACCACGGGTGCCCTCAGTGTGAAGCTCCTGAAACCATACACCCTTTCCGGGATATTCCAATGTCGGAAATATACAACGAAACCCAGGAACGGGAGAAATATATCCGCAGCCAGGGATACGGTGTGACCACCATATGGGAACATGAATTTGTGGATCAGATAAAGTCGGATCCCGAACTGAGATCTTTTGTTCAAAAACTCTCCTTTATTGCTCCTCTGGATCCACGAAATGCATTCTACGGTGGTCGTACTAATGCCGTCAAGCTTTTTCACCAGATATCCGGTGACGAAACTATAAGTTATTATGACGTCAACAGCGAATACCCATACGTCAACAAAAACAAACGGTATCCCGTTGGTCACCCGAAAATAATAACCAAAGATTTTGAAGATATTGGAAGTTATTTTGGTGTTGCCCTGTGTCAAGTGCTTCCTCCTGGGGATTTGAAACTACCAGTACTACCATATCGCTCGGGTGGTAAGTTAACGTTTCCTTTGTGCCGGACATGTGTGGACAAGTACCAAAACTCTAAGTGTGAGCACACCGATGAAGAGCGCGCTTTAACGGGAGCCTGGTGTACACCGGAAATAAACGAAGCTGTGAATCGTGGATACGTGGTCCAAAAGATTCACGAAGTCTGGCATTTTGAGCAGCACGAAGACCGTCTTTTTGAAAAGTATATCAACAAGTTCTTGAAGATCAAAACGGAAGCAAGCGGTTGGCCTGCCCACGTCCACACTGAAGCTGATAAGCAGCAATACATTCAAGATTTTAAACAGCATGAGAACATTGAACTGGATTATGAAAAAATCACTCCAAATGCTGGACTGCGTTCACTGTCTAAACTTTGTTTAAACAGGTTAGTTTATAGAAAACATACAGCTGTCACAGTACCAAAATTAACAATTGTTACATTATCTTTCCTTTTTATAGTTTCTGGGGACGTTTAGGAATGCAAGAAAACAAGCTCAGCACTGCCTATATTACTGAACCACAAAAGTTTTACGATATATTGTTGTCGGGAAAATATCATGTGCATTCTTGGGACATGTTCTCGGAAGATGTTGTGCAGTTGACATACACCAAAGAAAGCGGTTTCGCGGATCGTAATCCGAACACCAATGTCATTTTAGCGGCGTAAGAATTATCCCTTTTATTTGTTGCGGTTTTACCATTGGGTGCAATTTACAGGTTTACAACATGCTAGGCACGACTCCATTTGTACAAATTTATGGACATGGTCGGGGAGCGGTTGTTGTACTTCGATACAGGTACAATATAACCATGGATTTGTTGTCCGCTTATCTATTCTGGTTTTCAAAATCCAGATTCAATTTTCTTTGTGACAAAACCCGGATTGATTGACCCCCAAAGGGCTGCTTCCTTGGTGATCTTACCAACGAATTAAAACCAGGACAGCATATCGTGCAATTCCTCAGTTTGGGAGCCAAGACTTACGCGTACGTCACTAATGATGGCGATACTGTGGTGAAAGTGAAAGGATTCACTTTGAATGGCCAAACTAGTGAGCAAATTAATTTTAGTAAAATGCTGGAAATGTTGGAGAACCGTGATACAGTTGATATACAGTATCCCGACATTCTGAAGCGCGTAAAGAAGGATTTAACAATTTGTAGCGCTAGCATGCAAAAACGGTTTCAAGTGACGTATGACAAACGTCGTATTGTGGATAGTGAGTACAATGCACTTCCGTACGGTTTCAAGTTGTTATAAAATTTAATAAACTTTTTGATCATGGTTGCAATCTGTTCCACAGCAGCTGACAAATCAGTAGAAGACTTCAAACCTAGAAAGTTACATTTACCAGATGGAAACAAAACAGCACGACCAACACAAAGCTTAACGGCAAGACCGCTAAACAATTCCGGTGTGTACTCAAGTTTAAAGTACTCGCTAAATTTCTCAATATGAACACGTTCAGGAAATGTGTGGTTAGCTACAATATTAACAATTCGGTACCCGGTAATAACGCATGGAAATCCGATCCTCCTTAGCATTCCAACAAACAACTCCAGTATTTCCTTCACTTGTTCTTCGGATCGCCCTCCATTTACAGTGATTTTGCCATTGCGATATACTTGGCAGTGTGCTTTGACCGGTTGGAGAACACGAATCAGTAGTCCAGAAAACCGTTGAGGAATATACTGCGCCATTGGTAGAAGTTTTTCAATTTTCCAAAGATCCAGGGTAGTGTTTAAGTCCGCAACGGCAACAACATTGGTGATTCTGGGCATCACAGTGATACCACAAGGCGAACCGAACAGCTTTGCGGAGGGTCGACACAGGGAGCGAGGTGAGTTTATGATATGGTGGGCAGCCCAGAGATTCGAGGTTTCTCACTTCCGGTAGAAACTGCTCAAGCAGTCGACACTTCTCAAGGCCTTTGGCAAAAAACTGCACTTGGCTGGGTCGTCCGATTCTTTGAAAAATGTCCTCCAAGGCACACGTTACCTGATTGTGTCGGTACTCTCCTTCTGTATGCCACAAGAGTCCGTGCGAGTGTCGAGCTTGACTTTTCAGCGCGGGTATGTGCTTCCTGGCGAATCGTGGAAGCGAGAAAGTGTAAAGATTTTGTTCGTCTTTGTCCGGGCAGTAGAAAGCCAGCTGTTTGATGTATTTGGTTTCATTGATAACGAACCAATCGGTATCCAGTATGCATGGTACTGCCATTTCGTCTACCGGAGTACTAGGCAAAATTCCAGTTAACTGATAACGCACAATGTTGTGGTTAGAGTCTTGTACGTTTATGCACTGAAAACCGTTTATTTGTACTAGGAAGAGGATCACTCAAGTCGGTGATCCCTATCGTACAAGTTATCACCGAGTTCAGTGATCCCTATCGTACAAGGGATCACCGAGTTCAGTGATCCCTATCGTACAAGGGATCACCGAGTTCAGTGATCCCTATCGTACAAGGGATCACCGAGTTCAGTGATCCATATTGTACAAGGGATCACCGAGTTCAGTGATCCATATCGTACAAGGGATCACTGAAGTCAGTGATCCATATCGTACAAAAGATCACTAAACTCTGTGATCTTTTGTACTTTGCAGGATCACCAAAAACGGTAATCCGTGCATTGAGGTATCGATTACCGATATCGATGGTCTACTAAGTGAGCACTGAAGATTGCTATAAAAACCAAATGTAACCGGTAGATTCTTAGTGAGTTGTTGTGTTTACCTCTGGTTGAAATTTAATCTAAATCAACATGGAATTTATGGACCTGTTTGCATCCAAACGACCGCAGACCGCTGCGACCAAGCCCAAACGAAAAGGTCAAGAGGAGGGTGGAAAGCCGGAAGCTAAGAAGAGCAAGCCCAACAGTTTACCGGGCACGATATCTACGCATCCGCGATTTGTTTTTGCACAACTGGGAAAGCCGGTCTACCGCTTGGGAAACGACAAGTTCGTGTATGTGGGACCTAGCGCCGACGGGAAAGATCAGTACGATTCATGTGGTTTTCGGTGAATGGAAGGAGCAGCCGGACAATTCCTGGAAAGCCAGCTACGGGAAGAACGTTTCGCTGTCCAAGATCGGTTTTCTCCGTTCGGCCGCGCTCATGCTAACTGAGAAAGCTGACATGGATGAAACGGCCCGTGCCAGTGCCGCTGAAACCGGTCGGCTGACCCCGTTGTACCTTTTGGACAGGAGCATGTATTTCGGATGGAGTCGTTTCAATGGCACCAACGTGGCGACCATTCGACGTTTTGAAGTAAAGGGAGGGGATATGATCCCCACCCGCTACGGTGTTTCTTTTGGTGAACGCTGCTATGACGGGTTGAAGGACCTCATGAAAGACCTGCAGCTGTTCAAAGACATGGTGAAAATCTAGAAGGAACAGGAGGTTCACGAGCCGGTCAAAGAAGGACTAGAGTACCCTATGCTGTGCGAGAACGTTGCTGAGGCTTTAGCGCCATTATTCTAGCAGCTGGATGATGGTACTGTTGATCAGTGCCACGAAGAAAACTATCGACCATCCGACGGTGAATGGAACGGTGCTGTGGAGCGGTTCTGGAATTGCGTATGGTGCATGGTATACTGTTCGGACTGGATAAGCTCAGTGTTGAGCAGGCTCTGGACCTGGACGTGGCTGGATTTTTGAAGAAACACGAGGATCAGCTTCGTGAGAATGTGGATGGAATTATTACCGCTAATAATTGCTGATTTCCTGCTGTTTTATCTACTTGTACGACAAACGAAAAAAACCGGACATTGTTTTAGTTTTCATTTTATTAAACGTTTGCACATCTGTCGGAGCAAAGCTCCATCCACCATGGTTGTATGGATGTCAAAAAAAGAATTAACATACTGACACACCATTTTGTCGTTGTTTATTCGGCTATCCGTAAACAAATGCACAATATTAGTGTACGATTCACCACTACAACGTCGTAGAATAAAAAACAAACAGTATTGTCCACAAACAGTGCTAAATTCAGACTGAAACTGTTCATTTTGTAGAGTGATTTCATTGGCTGCCACCAGTGGTTGGAAATACTGTGAATAGCTTTCCAATGCTTTTCCGTAAGAGTCAAATACCTCCATTTTACCGGGTTGTTCCTGGTACAGGGCGATCCAGTGCTCACCTTCCTGGTCAGCTGGGTCCGTATTCACCACACACGCTCCCGGAAAAGGTGTCAGGCTCGTTGGAACTTGATTGCTGGCGTAGACTCCACGAAATACCGCAGTGGTGTGAGGATTTCCATGGAGTGCCGAGGTAATTGCTTGCGTATTCATGTTGTAAAGTCCGCGATCAGTTGACGGTGCTGGTTGATTTCAATAATGCTGTCGTAGACAAGCATACACACCATCATAATGGTGCTTTTCAGTGGTTTCCCGAAAGACACAGAAACGCTAAGGTTTCCTTGTTTGATCAGCGTCAGCGGTCCGCGGCCGGTATGTCCTGGAGTCAGGTCAAAACCGAAAATGGTATAGCCGTCGTTATATTGGGTCCGGTTGAACGGTAAGCCGCCTTGCAAGCTGGGACGAAGTCCCAAAGTGTCCAACAACCCGTCGTAGCACTCCAGAGATAACTTGCGGTCGAAATCGGCAGTGTACGGTTTGGTTGGATAACTCTGGCTGTCCACTTCGACGCTGATTTGTGTAACGTTGAAGTGCTGAAAGTTGAAAGGATTTTTCTTTTGCGATCCGTGAAAGTCTTCGCTGTCCACAAAGCCAATGAAGACTACCTTAGGGATTTGTCCAATCTGCAAATTGCTGACTACGGTGCTTTGGGTTCGTTGGGGAATGTCCGACACACGCATCACCACGCGTTCGATATGGTACTTGACTGTTTTTTTAGGAGTTCTCCGGCTACGGCGGTCAGAAAGTCCGGAGACGGAATGTATCGGCGAATTGATAGACGCGCGTTACGGATAAACGGTTTAAATGTCTTGGTGGTATCCGTGTCCCATACACGTAAGGCAAACTCCGGTCGACTAACCACTAGGCGAATGTTGACGGGTACACCGGTGCACAGCGGCTTGCTTTGGTCAAATAGGTCGGAAAATAGTTTGCCGGAAAGCTGTACGTACTGTCCAGTATTAAATAACGCCGTTCGATTTTTTTCACCATTGTTTGCGGTTTCACTGTTGAAGGAGCCCGGAGAGTCGTAATAGAAACCGGCGGATGTCAGTTGGCTTTGTTGGGCGTCAAGGGAGTGGGACAGCAGAGATTCCAGGTAAGCGCGGTACGGATAAAACGTGGCGGCATCCGAGATCAACCGGTTGGCCACCGTCACATGGCATGAAGAGAACAATGAGTGCAGAATGTTGTTGACCAGTGCCACACCATCAGCCGTTGTAATCAGTTCCCATTCCCCAGTGCTTTTGCGGACATTAATACCCACTTCCAGTTCCAGGATCATATCCGCTAAACTTAGTAGTCCGGCCGTGCTGGGTGGAATGAAGAAATTGATATCGCCGGCGGATCCATTGTCTGTCAAGACGGTAGTGGGGTTCAGCTTTTCATGTTCCGTGCGCCATCGATCCGTTAAAGTGGCCGGTAATGCAAAGAGCTGGTTCTCCAATTGCATGGCCGGCTCAGAATTTTCCATCATCAGCATGGCCATTTTTAGAAGAAATCGGGGATGTTGGTAGGGGAATACGTTTCACTCGAACAACTTTGCGTTGAACTCGTCGCTTCTTTCGAACACCTTCTCCTTCCTGGGAAGCAAAACGTTTTTCTATGGCTGTTCCCGCACGTGCGGCTACCTCTTTAATAGCCCCGGTAGCAGCTTCTTGCAGGTGAGGTGTAGCCGCTTCCAGAGCAGCTTTGGCATGGGGTGCGGCTTTCCGTAATATTGGTTGAACAAATCCTGATAATTTGGCAAACAGATTTTTCAAAATCTGTGGGAAGCCAGACCCATTTTGCAGAGTGCCTCGGTACCGAATCAGTGCGCTACCACCGCTCTGACTCAAAAAGACGTTCTCGTATCGCCGGGGATCCGGCACGTACTCCACCAGAGGCATTTTAGTATAGTCGTTGTGGTCGGAAATGCAGTTTCACAAGAGACTTTCCCGTTTGGAACTTGGCGTCGTCTCCCAGATCGTTGGCAATGGTCAGCTTTATGGTTTCAAAATGTTGTCGTAATACAGGGACGTAGTGGGGAATGTCGAATCTGGCCTCCACAATTTGATTGACTTCTCCTCTAATAGGCACGGAACGTAAAAACTGCGCTGCGGTATCCCCAATCAAGCTGTAGTCGGCCACGTCACTGTAGACAAACAGGCTTTGATTTCCCAGTAGGGTATTGACCGGTCGCTCCGAAATGAAGCTGGTCAGCTTTGGATTCGGAGGTTTTGCCAGAAATGACAGGTACTGGATACTGACGTTCTTGGTTTGCATAGGAAAAGGACCGATGAATGCATTGCTGTTACTTTCCATCGGCACATCAGGTTTCAGTACGCTGTGCTCAAATCCCAGCATTTTTTGTAGGACTATCGACGACGAAGGAAAGACAACAGAAACCCGATCGTTACCAATATTCAGTCGAACTCGATGATTGGTGGCGGTCAGCAATTGAACGGTAAAGGCTCTGTCGGCAGTCAAGGCGCTCTTGTCAGCGTGTACTGTATCGTCCACCATGTACGATCCAACTTTGGGTACCAATGAATTGATGGTTTTAATAGCAAATCGGCATCTTTGTAATTTTCCAGGAGGGATGGTAATCTCGTCGGTATGGACAACTTGGTCCGCAGACTCCAAAAGTTTGCTTCGTCTTTCTTTAGTCTGAATTCTTTAACGATGTGCACTTCAATCTTCTGCTCGACGGGAAGAGTGAAAAGGAATTGAGGTATTGTAGTTCAACCAAGGCCATTTCCCATTTTCCCTTCAGGGTAATGGGATGCTTCAGTTTGGTCGTCCAGTTCGAAGGAGTGTTGCTCGGGTCCGTCGCCACATCGCTCGGTAGCGTCACGTAGAATGGTGCTCCTTCGTACATGATGATGCCTTGATCCAGGAATCGTGCTCAGGTCCGTAACCTAACCAACGAACTAGTACTCTGTCACCACGGCGTCTAATGATACGGTCGATGGTACATTCCTTCTGTTCCGGGCGCGATACTTTGGAGAGCTCGTGTTCATAAAAGGTTCCTTGGATAGGTTGGTTTTGGTAGTCCTTTAGTCGGTATACCGGTACGGTATGTGAAATGACTTTAATGATGTAGAACACCTCCTCCTTAAATCGATACGTATAGCCTTTTTCCACCTTGGTTTTATGCACGGCTATCCGGACTGCATCGCCGACCTTGAATCGAGGTGGTCGAACTTGTCTGGTTGGATACAATTTGTTGAATACCGCCAAAGAATTGTTCTGGGTGACGTCTATCGGTCGCAATCCATGTGCTCGATGTTTGGAGTGGTTATACGAGTACACCAAATCTTGCAGTTTATCAATGTACCGGGTCGAAACCCGCGCACGAAACAAACGAAACATTCGTGTTTTGATGGTACGGATAACGCGTTCTGCCATGGCACATTTGATGTCTTCGTTTTCCGATGTGAAAAACTGAATCTTTCTCCCTTTCAAAAAGGTCTTGACCGTTGCGTTAACGACTTCAGTGCCTTTATCGTACTGCAGCTTTTCCGGCTCGCCGAGTTCTTTGAAAGCCTTGGACAAGGCAGTCTTGGTTTCGTTGGCCGTTTTATACTTCATTGGTTGAATGGTCAGCTTTTTGGAGAAGCAATCAATTACAAACAGCAGGTGTTTGTACCCATCATTTTCCTTGGAATATTTTGATAAATCAGCCAGATCAGCTTGGTACTGCTGACGAAGGTTGGTCACTACGACCCGGTTGCGTGCAAAGCGACGTCGATTTTCCTTGGTCACAGTGTACGCATCGATCTCTTGCAGAATCTCCTGAGCTTTCCGTCTGTTGGCTCTGGTCTTTAGACTTCTTCGGAACCTTTCCACGCCTCCAAGACCGCCGGGATCGCGCGGGTTGAGGTATCGCTTCATTAGTTTCTCCATCCGCTTTGTTGCAGCAGGAGGAGACACAGTTGATCTTAAATATACGGCATAACCGTAATACGCTGGGGATAAGACCAGCCATTACGTCAGAGTGATCCAGTGAATTCTGGTTCGGCCCGCCCCTTTTTGGATGGTACGCGAGCGCAGTTTTCTAACACTGCTTTCAATCTGGTCCGCCTTTCTTTTTTTTCCCACGTAGGAGAGTAGTGACCGAAACAAAGGTCTACGAGGTCGCTTACGGAAGACCCTTGGTTGTCGATGCTTTCAGTCGATCGTTTTGACCCTTCCTCGGTGCGGTCAGGAAACAACGCTATGCGCGCTGCTTTTGTTGGTCGCGATTCGACACTTTCGTCTTGATGACGTTTGGAACCTTTCTTCGGTAGCCACGCCGGAAACAAAGCAATGCGTGCGGTCTTTGGTTTGTTGCTGTCTTCAGGATCGATTTCGTGGTCGCGTTTCTGTCCTTTAGTGGGTAAATCAGATGGGAATAAAGCTTGTCGAGGTTGCTTCGTAGGAGCAGCTTCCTCAAATTCTTCTGGTATCTTTCGTTTTTGAGAAGTTGGCTGTTCTGACTCTTGTGTTTCAACAATCATAGCTTGCGGTGGCAGTCGGGAATACGGACGGAATACCGAGGGTTGCGGATTCCTTTCCGCAGCTATTGGAAGCGGTTGTGTGACTACGTCCGTGGGTAATTCTAACGGATTTTCATCAGGAATGGCTTTCTGTTTCAAGGCAAGGAACCGCTCTAGGATACTACTCAGCTGGCTGGCTTTTTCATACTCGCTTATATCAGCACGTTGGAGCGTTTGAATTACGAGAGCGTCCAGCGATAAAACACTTTGTGCTTCCGGGGGTTCTCTGTTTATCTGGAGCTGTTCATGGAGCCGGCTTTCCATTACTCGGCGTGGAACAATAAAGTATTCATCCATTTCCGATAAGAGAAGTTAGAACACCGGCAATGACTGGTAAGATGGCTCCAATAAATCCTCCTTGCTGAATCAGTTTGCGTTTTTCTTTCAAAGGGTAGCGACGTAAGGCAATCAGCTTTAATGCTTTCCGATATTGTTTGCACTTATCTGCTTCGGCGGGAGATAAGTTAACTGTATTTTTCACAATATTGACAGCCACTTCTTCCAGCGCTTTAAGTTGCGATTTGGTTAGGTAGCTCACAAGGACTTTCCGCTGCTTTGGCTTCAAGTGCTGCAGCGTGATGATGAAGGGCGCTAAGGCCTTTACCCTTTCCGACATTTTGGTAAAGTGTTTGTTGAGTTCCGGTTCAGATAAATCCGCATTCGTTCACCTGGTAAAACATGGGATCGTATCCTTAAATAATCTGGGCACGTTGGGCGTAAGTCCAATACCAAAGGTTGATAAGGCTCCGATGTTACTTTGTTGTATGCGTCGACCAAATGTTTCAGTCCGGTTTGACGTGCCAGTAATGCGATTTGATTGACATCCCGGACGTTCTTAAATAGTATCAGGTACTGCGAATTGAGTGTGATGTCACGCATGGATTTTCCTTGTTTGTACAGGTTTTGCAGAAGCAAGATGACGGAAACGTTCTTGTGATGAATTCCACGGGTAAACAGGTCCGAAAATCGAGAATCTTTGCACAGATTGGTAGCCAAATCGTCGATAATAACCAAGGTATGAGTCTTACTGTCAACTGACTGCAAAACTGAGAATAGATCGTCCAGACCCTGCAGGAATTCAACTGGAGTAGCCTGTTTACGTAAGGTTTCGAAACCCTTCTGCCATTGACCGTAACAGTATAATATCCTCGTTGGTTGTTGATCCAGAACAAAGTTACTGTTTTTCAGGAGCGTAAATACGAAGTTTGTTTTGCCCGACATTGTGGGCCCACAAACGCACATTCCAAACGGAGCACAAAAGCGCGGATAATCGTTTATCACGCTAAACATTTTTTAGCAAACACATAATGTTGGTGCACCAAATATGTTCCGCTTAAATAGGCTTTGTTACGAACGGGTATTTTTAAATAACAGGTATTGTTTCAGTGACCAATAATGCAAAATAATTCATAAAGCGTTTGAAAGATTTAATTACTCGTGGAAAATAAACAACGCTAGTCTATTTAAGGGATGTTAATGTGTTTCAATAATAACTGACAATTTACAATGGCTAACCTCCAGCACATGTTGTGCTGTGCACGAAACCTAGAGCAAAAATGTGAGAAGGTGTTGTTAATTATTCTGTACGTTGTGTTTTTCGTTGTTTTTGCTGCGTTTGTTGTCACCGAAAGCGTTGGAAAAATTATGCAGACCGATTACTGGAACAGCACCTTACGAAACCAGACAATCGAACAACATGACCTTTCAAATACCAGGTAAGACCTTTATAGCATTTCGTTAAACGACTGTGATAAATACGTGGTTCTGACTGATTGAAAATTTTACCGGAAACTTATGTCATCATTTTATTACAGTAAAAACGCAACGGTCGGATTTCATGGAGCAGCGTAAGATTGGGAGTGTCTTTAAGCCAACAACTCCGGTCATACCTTTTGAATCGACCCATAAACGGAAAAACAAAAAGCTGCAACAACTTTTCGGAACGAAGCTGTTCTTTCTCGACGATGGCGCCACAGACAATAATGCGTTTTTATTAATTCAACAGCAATTTCAGAATGAAATAAAACTTCCATTATGCGTATTGTCCGTTCAGATCGAATACGTAGTGAAAAAACCACATTCATTTATCTAAAGATTACTTAAAAGTGTACTGTTGCTACGGTGTTTTACGTACGTGATTGACCGCTGCACTTACATGGATCACTGATTCCGATTATCCCATACTTTAAGGGTTATCAAAACCAGGAAAGATTACCAATAACGGTGATCCGTGTCGTACACGGGATCACTGAACTCGGTGATCCGTGTTGTACAAGGGATCACTGAACTCGGTGATCCCTGTCGTACAAGGGATCACTGAACTCGGCAATCCGTGTCGTACAAGGGATCACTGAACTCGGTGATCCATGTCGTACAAGGGATCACTGAAATCAGTGATCCATGTCGTACAAGTGAAAAAAATAGGGAAGCCAAGATCGAACAGTGGTCGTGGTCGTTCGGAACATATGTCACCGCAATAGCATACTTACCCGACCACAGATCAAGCTTCCTGTTTTTCCTTTTTTGTTCTTATCACTCAAAAATTAAAGGTAATGCACTAATCAGTATGTCATTTTCACAATGCCATCTAACGAAACGATATTTAGTCTGCAATTTCATGACGTATTTTAACAAAATCACATATTAAAAACATTCCACTCGTTAAAATTTTCCCGGTCAAAAAACACGCCGTTAATTATCCCTAGGGCAGAAACACACAAACCGTTAATTATCCCCTAGGGCCTAAAATTTGGACCCCCCCGGATAAAAAAAACTGGTTCAAACAGACCAGGATACTACTGCTGCGTATACGGTATACCTGTTTGTGAAAGATCGGCTGATTGCGCTTTTATTTGTGTAGGTAAACCAGTTTGTCGTCGAGCCTGAAGGAATACAAGGTACAATCACCACACAGTCACTGTCTAGTGGAAATTACAGCCCTTGCCATACTAGTTTTAAACACAGGACAAATATTTTGTACTAAGCTTGTGCTAACGGGTGTCAGCTCTGTACAGTACAGTGTTCGTTAGGTGATTCAGTCAAAGCCGACGAGATTTTTGTGCCGGTGTTTTCGTTAAATGTTGCTAATGGTCCTTTATTTCCTGTTCCAGTGGAAAGTTTTTTTTCGAAACCTACTTTTTATTGGGTTATTGATCGTTACTCTTATTTTTTTTAATGTGGAATTGTTGATGAGGAATGCACGACTGTTATTTTCTATGAGAATGTAAATGCGACCTTTTGTTTTTCAAAGAGCGCAGCGGAACGTAAGAAAAAAAAGTGATATTGGGGGACAAACATTGTATCTGTCGCCACGAAGTGGGTGCCACAATTATGAAATCCCACTAATTCAAAGTTCAGCACAATTTTAAAGTCGAACAGCTTACCAGGGCACATTTTCCCCCTCCAAATTCAAAAAATCCTCATTTTTTTAAAATGGTAGTGTACTATTGTAGTATGCTTAAAAAAACATTTTTAGCTGCCATCGTCAAGGGGGACGTGGCCAGACAACAATTAAAAGTTTGCGTACTATCACGTACTGTGTAATGCAGTGCAGTACAAGTTATTCGTAATTATTATGTATTCTTTTTCCTGCAGCACCGTGGACCTTTTGCAGCTGTCCGCTGTCATGAAAATTAATGATATAAAAGAAGCCCACGTGCGTCGGCTCATGCCATTGCTGCCTGTAGATTAAGTTGCCATTCAGTTGTGTCAAATGTTAACTCCGCAACAAAATGGCTGGAAGAAAATTTGCGATAGCTGTGGCGAGGTACGTATTATTCTGAGCCGGTTCTGCAACTCTGCAAAAACTGTTTGCCTGCGCCCTGAGGGAGCATAGCAAATGCAACTTTAAGAAAACGTGCAAAGTTAGACGCTCTAGTTTAGATAGTCTGGCTAACAAATGATGTAATACCACGTTTCTAGCTGAAGAATACTTTTCACCATGTTCCGATTTGAATGTTGTGTGTTGATCGTATGTGTTGGAATCTGGGGCCAGGTTTCAACGAAAAACATGGCGAATCTACCGGAAAGTATGCAAAAATGTCGAGAAATCAGCAGGCCCAGCGCAGATAGGACCGCAGAGCGAAGAGGCGAAATTGCGCTTATTAACGTCAATAATTATGACTATTATTTAGTCATTATTATTTTGCATTTTATTAGTTATTACTTATTATTGATTTATATTAATATAGTTAGACCGGTCTTTGTGTTCGGTTGTACAGACTGGAAAGACTTCATCGATCCGGAGATTCTGGCAAAAAGTGAAAAAGATGACGAGTTTACGCGCTATGACAGCGATCTGCCGGAAGGAGACATTCTCGGACTGCAAACGTTGCAAGTAAGTGTGTAATTAATCCCGCTGAATTACTTAACGATAAAATATAGTACTCTTCAAATATATAGTACACTTTAAAATATAGTACACTTTAGTATTCTGAAAAGCATGGAATTTGTATGTAAACGTTACAAAGCATTGGCATGAGAATAGCATCACGATTTACGAAGCGTATATACAGTACACAGCGTTGTCAGGTGAAAACGGAATGAAATTTTGCAGCTTGAGCACGCAGCTGCAAACGCCGTCAACGGAGCCAGCTTCTTCTGGCCGAACAACACGATTCCCTATGAATTTTCCAAAAAGCAAAACGCATTAATGAGTAAGGAACAAGTATGTTCACTTCGTATTTCTTACCAGCAAATCTTTGCCTAAATCGTTGGCAGCATCAAAAGAAATGCAGATTATTCTGGAATCAATGCGCTTAATTAGTCTCCTTTCCGGGAACTGCGTCAAATTTGTGGAGCGCGCCGATGAAGAGGATTACGTCTCCTTTCAGAAAGGACTGCAGTCAGTGATTTACTTCCGCTAATTAGTGGATGTCTCTGTGATACTATATACATTATACAGTACTGATATCTCGACTGAACAGATGTATGTCAAATATCGGTCGCATCGGAGGGAAACAAGCCGTTGTGTATTCGCCCGCATGTCTGAAGCAACACGGTGATGTGCAGCACGAACTGATGCACGTACTGGGTTTCTTTCACGAACATTCGCGAGCTGACCGAGACCAGTATGTTATCATCATCTGGGACAACATTGCCAAAAGTAAGGCGAACGACTAGTTTCAATTCTGTAATAAGACTGCTTATCACTACTTTTCCGTACTGATTTATGGTTGGTTTTCGACAGTTTGATTGAACGATTGATTGTTTATTGAGTAGCCAAGCAATGTTCGATCCGACACTATCACATGTCCTTATTCACAAAGAACATCAAATATGCTACGGCCAGTCAAGTAACTTCACTTATCAATTACCATTTCCAGGCGACAAAGACCAGTTTGCCAAACACGAAGACGGAAACACGTACGAATTGCCTTATGATTACGAATCAGTAATGCACTACAAGCACAATGCCTTCGCCAAAGACATCATGATCCCGACTGTTGTACCGACCAGCCGGAAGTCAAAGATTGGGCAGAACAAAGCGCTGAGTCCTTTGGATGTTGTAAGAATACATCGACGGTTTCGGTGCGCGATTGCCGACCCGAACATCTTGGCAGGAGGTAAGCGTGTTTTATCTACCAGTGGCGAAAGTTGGAATGCCGGACACATCTCGTCACTTTGCATGGTGTTTTGACTTCGTAGGTGCGAGTAGTGATAAGGACAAAGAAAAACGGGATGACTGTCCTGTCGCGAAGTCAAGCCAGGACGATCAGCGCAACTGTGAAAGCGGCACTGGTAAGCCAGTTGCGCCAAAAGGCTGTCTATTAAAATGCGCAGTAACGCGTAAGAAACATGTCGGATCATTTATTCTTGTGCAGTTCATTGTAACCGGCACAATTCTGTTTTTTAAAGCGAACTAGAAATATTTTTTTAGACAGTAGACATAAAGAAAATTTTGCGGATCAAGCATAATTGCCGGTAACTTAAAAGTAGCTGAATTGCACAACACGGCGGCTTGCTGCCGAGTTTCCGGAGAAATATTCACTTGAAGAAATGCAAAACGTGATGCTGAAAATAAGCAAAATTACAGAAAATTGCAATTCTTGCAGATAATGATGGAAACGTGGAGACGGCTGACACAACGGAAGCATTTCCGCGGTTTTCCCAGGAGCCAATGACGTCAGAACAATGTGGCCTCCAGTTTACGGCCAACTGTAAACCTTCACGATATACTGCTAGTAGCTGCGCAACTGGTCAAGAGCTTGCCATCGATTGCGGCAAGCTCGTCACTTCGGCAGAAATTCAGCAAATCAGCGCCGGAATCTCGAAATCTCCGATGAGAGCAATTACGGTTGATCTGTATGATGACGAACACATTACTTTCGACAATTTTCAAGCAGTCCGGAAGCAAGTGGTTGCATTGTTTATCCGCGACTGCATTTCCAGTCGCACCTCCCAAAAGCTTACCACACTCGGCTTCTCTAATTTGTTACACTTCTGGCTTGTGAACTGCCACGGTATGGAGATAAAGAAAACCGACTTCAGCCAATCGAACAAGATCAGAGCGATTCTTTTCGAAAACACCACTATTGAATTATTAGAACAAGGCACGTTCACCGATTTGCCATCTTTGCGAGTGTTGTCTTTAGAGTTCAACATGAACCCGATGGCTGCTTTCGGGACACCCACTCTTGAGTACATGAAGAAACTCCACTGCGGTTGTGAATTCCATTGGTTTCGTGATTGGTGGGAAAATAATCCGCAGTTGCTACGAAAGGCCGCGGAAGGCGAAGTTTACTCTATTCCACAATCATGGATGAATTCAGCCTATAGTAAAGAGAATATATATTTGCCTATTGACTGCTCCGTAAATCCATTCCCTGGTGCACCAGATTCCATTGATTACAGCCGGTACAGATTCTCAATCAACGTTCCAGATTGTAAGTGCGACAAAAATAAGAAAAAAAATACTAACTATGACGATGGCGGAGGTGAAAATGCCGGAGCATCTCGTCCATTTGCATGGTATTTTCACTTCTTAGGTACGACTAGTCATAATGACAACGAGAAACGGAATGACAGCCCTGTCACGAAGTCAAGCAAAGAAGATCAATGCGACTGTGAAAGCAGCATGGGTAAGTCAAGTCCGCTTAAATACTGAAAAGAAAGTGTGCAGTAACTCGTTAGAAAAATCGCGGACCAGTTATTCTTGTGCAGTTCGTGGTAACCGTCTTACGTTTGTGTTCTTTAGAAACTTAGAATTATTATTAGCATGAAGAAATTATTGCGGATCACGCAAGCCTAACGGTAAACTAATAGCATCTTGCAAACATGGCGGCTTGCTGCGGAAATGCCGGAGAAACATAACTGGGGAAAACGCAAAATGTACCTCCAAAAATAAACGAATTCACAAAATCTGCAGTGTTATAGATAACGATGAAAACAAGGACGCCGTTTCTACTTCGGAAATCTTCCTACAGTTTTCCCAGGAGCCAATGGCTGCAGAACAATGTGGTCTCCAGTTCACGGCCAATTGTAATGTACCAGGATATACAACTGATAACTGTACAACTACCCAAGCGCTTACCATCAATTGTGGCAAGCACATCACTTCGACAGAAATTCGCCAAATCAGCGCCGGAATCTCGAAATCTCCGATGAGAGCAATTGAGGTTTATCTTTATGATGGTGAACATATTATATTTAGAAATTTTCAAACAGTCCGGCTGCAAGTGGTATTTTTGGGTATCAGAAACTGCACTTCCAGTCGCACCGCCCAAAAGTTAAACGAACTCCGTTTCACTAGTTTGATGAACTTCCAGTTGGAAAGCTGCTATGGGCTAGAGATAAGGAAAGCTGACTTTAGCTATTCAAACAAGATTAGAGCCATCACTTTCTTTAATACTACTATTGAAATATTGGAAAAAGGAACGTTTACCGATCTGCCGTATCTACGACTTTTGGCTTTAGAATACGGCATGCATCAGATGGAAGTTTTTGAGAGACCTATTCGTAATTACCTGAAGGAGCTCCACTGTGGTTGTGAGTTCCAATGGTTCCGTGACTGGTGGGAAAGTAACCGGCAGTTGCTGCGCAAAGCCGCATCAGGCGAAGTGTTCTTCATTCCAGATTCATGGAGGAGCGGAGTTTTTACCAAACAGGACATTTATTTGCCTATTGACTGCTCGGTGAATCCATTTCCTGCTGTACCGGCCTCCGTTGATCATAAACAGTACCGATTCTCAATTAACGTACCGGGCTGTAAGTTTGGTTCGTCTCACGATCTGCTTATGCTTGAAAACTTGACTTTTATTCGCGTCCTTATTTTGACAATATAAAAAAGCATTTTTAATAAATCCTAAAACTAAGTAATTATTACAAAACCACAACGATACAAACAGCACGTTTTTTTTATTATTTCTAGTAGAATCATACCTACATCTGTATCTTTACTTGCTCCGTTTTGAACGTCAATTTTCTTTGCTGTTTTTACAGTTTCGGGTGAATCACAGTGTTCTGATAAACTAACGAACTCCAAAGACTCGTTTCTGGCCTTTTCAACTGATCCGATGAGCGACGAGGAGTGCGATAGCCAGTTCACGGCAAATTGCAAACCAACCGGCCATACGCAAAGCGAATGTCTAGTAAAGAAGCAGGTAGAAATCAACTGCAACCGCAAAGCCAGCTCGGAAGAAATCGGTCGCATGCTCACAAGTATCAACAAGGCACCCTTGCGTCCTGTGCGGGTTGTATCGTCCGACGACTCTGAACTATCGTCCATCAACCTTGGTGAAGTGGGAAAACAGGTTGCTGATTACAATCTAATCAACTGCACAGATGAAAGGGCAACAGGAAGGCTGCGTGAAATGCGGATGCCCAACCTTTTGGAGTACAATCTGCACAGATGTCTCAACTTACATGCAAAAAAGGGGGATTTCGAGTATTCTCCAAAATTACGAATGGTTGCGTTTTGGAATTCAACATTTCGTACTATCGAAAGTGATACTTTCTCTCAGTTACCGGCACTGCGAATATTGTCACTTGAGGCCGAGATCAGAAAGGCAGTAACGTTCAACGCAGACATCAAGGACTATCTGTTCCGACTTCACTGCAGCTGTGATTTTGCGCCATTCCGCAAATGGCGGAAAGACAACAAGCAGTTACTCCGAGCGGCTGAGAAGGGACAAGTGTATTGGTTTCAGGAGAGTTACTACAGCTGGCAGTGCCAGTCAAGTGACGTTTTTCTGCCAATAGACTGTTCTGCAGATCCCTTTCCTTCTGGACCAAGTTCCATTAACTTTAGTCAAGTCGAATTCTCACTGAATGAGCCTGCCTGCTGAATTGGTTGTCAGCAGGCTGTTTGAGACGGCAAGAATCGCAGCCATGCGGCGCATCTGCTAAACTTGCTGTAAACGCTGTTAGCAATAATCCATAGATATGCATGTCGAGTTTATGCAACAGCACCGGTTTCTCATGAGTTTGTCAAATTTTTCTTTTTCTTTGTGTCTGACCTGTTCTTTAAATCTTGTTGAGGAACAATACTTTCTGTCTGTTCTCGCCGCAGTGGGGCCTTTTTGGGTACAAACGAGTTTTGAAGCATCGTTTTAACGAGCAATCGTAGCATCTTTATCTCTCGCTAGCGTCGGCTCAAACACAGTCTATACATACTACCAGTACTGATAATTGTACTGATCAGTGCACTGTACTCTAATACAAGGGACCTTCATATGGTATCCTGCACGGTCATATCAAATTAAGCTAAATTATGAGACTGATCTACTGTGAAATGTCAAAATTAATATTATGCAAATGATCTTCGCCATTGTTTACAATTCTATCGTCAGTATCGTATGTAAGTCAGTCAATGTAATGCAACAGTTGAATCACAGACATTCACAGTGTAATAAAGAAGGAAAATTTATTATAATAACGACAAATTATTTTCATAGGACGTCGATAGCACAGTCACAGGATGCTACGCTTGTCAGCGTGTTCAACTTACCAGGGCCCGGTCACCAGCTCCCGGCCCCGAAAAATTTCATTTTTGCAGGAAGACAGAGTAACCCGGAGTATATTTAAAAAAATATTTTTATAGGCCATGGTAAAGTGGGCGTGGCTAAACTTGATTCCAGTGCATTAATACATACAGCACTAAGTATTGGAAATACCGTATAGTATAGCGTGCAATTTCAGAGGTTTTTGACTAATACGTGTAATCAGTAGTCAGATCCTTTTTAATTTTTCTAAAAATTACTGCTGTTAATAACCGAAAAGGATTATATAGTACAGTACTAGTTTGTAATAGGAAATTTGAATACGCCCCGTGATACTTGTTAGTTGGCACAAATACAATACGCGTTTTCCTTAACCACTACTCTAGTTTAATAATATTAACAGCAGTAAATTTTAGAAGAATTAAAAAGGATTTGACAACTGATTACATGTGTTAGTCAAAAACCTCTGACATTGTACGCTACACTTATACGGTATTCCCAAATCCCAATACATACGGTAGTGCTGTATGTATTAATCCAGCGTGCATGTGCGCCTCCCGGACGACGATAACGACCTTGTCGGTGTTCTTGGCGGGTGCATCCTCCCGCGGGAATAGCTCCACCCGCAACTCCAGACCCTGTCGGCCTTATTCCACGCCACCCTGGCTGATCAGTTTCCCGTGGTACTGGGGGTCGTCGGCGCGCATCTCCGCTCGATAGTTGCGCAGAGCCTGCAAGAGATACCTGGTTTCCCGGTACCGACTACCGGCACTACCGCTAACACAACCGCGACACCACACCGGGCAGCCCCTACCCGCTCCTCCTTGGCCTTGTCTAGCTCTCTGACACGCCCGGCCAACCACTCCTTGAATTTGTCCACGCGCCGGCCCAGAACGCAGCTCGTAATGACGTCGCTCGGCCCGGGTCGCCGGGGAATGCTGACGCTGACCTGGAACTCGTCCATCAGTTGGCGGAGACCGGCACCCTGTTCGCCGATGAGGCTGCAGCGGTAGTCCAACGGCACCGTCATTTCTTCCTCCACCAACGACCGATCCTGTCCAGTACGAGAAACAGTTTCACTCATTCGACAGCAACCACCGCGCCACATGGGCGAGCAGGAAGATCAGCAAATGCTGCAACGGTTATATGGACTCATTACCCAAGTGAAGCGCTGTGATCGCGGAAGCTAATACAGCGGATGCTAGAGATTTTCAGTTTCTGTTTGGTTATGGAAACCTATTGATCTTTCTAGCTCTGTTTTTCCGTTGACCCTTCTTTCTCGCTCATGACCTAATTTCGGTTTTTGCTAACGAAACCGGCCACTTCGGAAAACTTCGTTTGGTTTAGAAATCTGAATACAAGAGGGAGCTGTTTTGAAGACGCGTAGCCAAAATAACCGAAATTTGACGAAAACTGAAATTTCGTGGATTTTTAACCGCCGAAATGGTATTATGGGCACCTACGCGTTGGCATTTGGCTTGATTTGCGTGGAAAATGTGTTGGTAGTTTTGCCGTCGGATCGGAATATGCGCAACGCAACGGAACAGTTCACGATGATGGACGATCTTCTTCAGCAGCGCCTTTGCCTTCTCAGCGATGGCCGCGGGCCTGTGATTGTCAATTTCATCCCGTCCAGATCTCATGGTAAAAGAGCACCTTCCCCCCGCACTCCCAACGAATAACGGTGATGGTGCGCATCTCACAGCTGATCAGATGCTGGTCTGAAAGACGGGTGCTCAGTGGGAGAGAGTAATGTTTTAATGAGCGATATAACAGCTAACAGATGAAAAGCAAGGGAGAAATAATCGGCCTAATCGGCCACGATCTAATGAAAACGCTTGCTATACATACAGTACCAGCCGCAAGCGGAAGTGGCATGCATGCTGACCTGTGAAAGATAGATCGTGCAAATTAATGATCATGCGATTAGCAGAACAATGAACACGCGGTGTAAGACCCGTATGTATAACAAGGATCACGTGAAGGACAGGACGTCTAGAACAATGATCATGCATATACGTGCAAGTACCGCTATGAAATATGCGAATAACCCTAAGGGTATTTCACACTTATGCAAGTGGCTTAAAATGCTCACCACCAATGAACGGCACCTCGTCAAAAATCGCAGGCGAGCGGCCGATGTGGACGGGACACTCCACCACCCGACTGCCTAACTGTAAAACAAATTATACAAGCCCATCGCATAAACTACGGTTTTCGTACCCAAGTCCAGAACTCACTCACACAGACCCGCTCTAGCATCTTTGGCTCCGCCACGCTTCTCGCCCATTGCAATCCCCGCATCCGGATCTTGAAGCAGGTCGGATCAGTCTCGCTATCACGGTATCCGGCCTCCCTGTCCTGGATCGCTTCAGGGCCGATCGGACCGCGGGGGCGACACAGTGGACGCCGGGGGTGGCCGTGCCCGTCCAGTAGCTTCGGCCGAGTCAGCGCTTTGCAGTACCATGGGATGGATGCGGCTCCATCCGTGAAACCTGTAACGACGAACGACAGGAATATCAGAATTTATCCGGAGAGCATTCTGATCACCTTGTCCATACTGAAACTATTTTTGTCCGGAACCGTCATACAGAAGCCGGTAACAGTGTGCCCGTTGACCACCTACATCAAAAATTAACGACATGACGATTGTTTTTTATTTGATCTATTTTTGTAATGATAGTATCTGTATGGTTGAGTTGACCCTTGGCAGTTGGCAGTAAAAAGTGCGTTTGTGAAGACAGGAATAGTAAAAACAAAAGTCACACAGATGACTGAACGCAAAGAGGAGTGGTTAAACAATGGCGTAACGCGATCCTCTCTAGACTCTGTTTAGACCGAGTTATTCGTCACACAAAAAAAATTCAAAACCAAGTTCTCAGTTTTAATTTATTTGTTTTAAACGTAACGCTGATTGAGGAATACGCCTTCGCTTGGAAAGCTTATGTGTCGAAAAATCCTGATAGTAAAGTTCAGCGCATCTCAAATGAAATGCAAAGAACACTTTCTGAAGGGAACGTTTTATATCGGTAAGAGACTGGACGAGGTGTATTACGTGTTGAAATGATGAACTGCGTAATTTTGCTTTAAACCTATGTTAATGTAACAATCCAATTAAAGGGGCTTTCTGAAGCGTCTTCCTTATACAAGAATCAGCAGGTCTGTGTAGTAAAATCAAGATACAAATTAAGACAATCTAACAAAATGAAAATCAGTAACAAGGCATTTGCAGTTAATAATACAGAAGCTAATAATATTAAGCGAACGATTTATTGAAGGTTTGTCATCGATTGCCGACGTTACCGGAAGTTAACGATCAGATAAGTCGTCAAAACTGCGAACATCGTGTGCTCTTGAAACAGCCAAAGAACTGCTTTTACACAGCACTAATAACAGAGAATACGCGGTGCATAGGGATTGCAGTAACCGCATACGGTAGTTGCAAACAAGACAGTCAGTCTATATCCAACTCGTTCTGACAAGAACACGATATGAATAATCTGCGATAACTCTACACGTTTTTATTGCCTAGAAAAATACTCTTATGGTTATTGAATAGTATTACGATGATGGCGCAAGGACTGATACTCGGATTCTTTGCGGCTGCCCTAACGCCGCTCTTTTATACAGGTAAAGAACGGCAATGTAAGAGCTTTATTGCAAAAGGTGATGGATGGTATTGCGGCCGGACAATCGAGATATTTTTTTGACACTTCGACATCGTTAACGAGTTGGACGCATTCACTGCAGAATCCAGCGAACCGAACACTACTGCATGATTGCAACAGTCCATAAAGTCCGGCAGACGCTTTTGCCCTTAAACACTCATAATGACCGGGTATCGCCTAAACGTCAGCCGTTATTTTGTCCATCAAGTAATTAACGCGTTTCCGATCGGAAGCAAGAGGGATCGGAGTAAATTCATTTGTCCCAGCCGGAAGCGGTTGGTTTCCAAAGTTTTAGGACTTACAGTTTATTGGCTCCTACATAGTGTTCGATTAAGTCTAAGGAATCAAATTTTCTAAGAATTCAGGTGGAGCAGAAATCAGCTTACAGTGAAGCTGCGTGGTTTTCTGAGCGATAGAGTGTATTTCCCGGGAATGTCTGAATGCAGTGACCCAGTCACGTAGTACACGTGAAACAAATGCAGTTGAGTATTCCATTCGCTGAATCGTGCTGCAAAATTGCTAAGTTATTCGCAGTTGAAACGAAACTGCTGACAATGTCGACTTACGTTGTCATGTACGTTATTGGGTATACGTTGTCAGAAGCTACATCAATCTGTGCGCGTAATTGAGCGAAGTCAAAAATAATTTAGGTGAAGCAGCGAGCGGTACACCTGACAACATCTCCAGTTTATATTTCAACGATGTAATTTGGGACGACGATGGCGACAGTGGAGCTCGACAGTACATGCGAGCAACCGGCCAACTGGCTCCGGGAAATTACTGGCCCAACAACGGAAAGGACATTCCTTACGCCTTTCAGCAACTCGGTAAGTGATCTTCGTGCGATCTGCTTTTGCGTATGTCAGCTATGAATTGTTTCGTTGTGGTACACAGTTTTACTTTTACTTGCATCAAGTTGCGTGTGATTTTTATAAGAAGAAAAAGATACCATGTCGGTGCTTAGGCAGACCCATTTTGGCAAAGCTTTGGAGCCTCTGTGTTAGCAGCGAAATATGTATCTCCTGTGGTAGTAACAATATATTCAAATCTTTATCACAACTACAAAAACTAAACAAAGAATCGAGCGTAGAAAGGGTTTAACGAGATCATGGTTCTCTATAAAGCTTTTTTGTTAATTCTGTGGGCTCAAGACACATTTATGTACACAGCTATTTACGGACACTATTTATATGCTATTTATGGGCACAGCTTCGGCTTCACCGGTTCTCCGCGTTTCTTGTACCGTACGGTCGCAATTCTAAATGTAAAACAGTAATTACAGTAATGCATTTACACGATATTAAGGGACCGAGAAATCCCTGGGACCGCCCGCACTAGCTGTCGGTTCCTTTGTCATCAATGGTGCTGACACCTAGTGCGGGTGGTCCAGGGCATTTCTCTGTTCCTTAATATCGTGTAAGTACGGTACTAAAGCACGAAAAAATAGCTGTTATGCCGGATTGTTATAGATCCCGACCAGCGACAAGCCGTGGAAAAGGCTTTACGATTGATTGAATGGCGTACCAACTTTTGTATAACTTTTAAAAGTCGGCAACAAGAGCGCGAATATGTACTTTTCCAACCCGGAAGAGGGTACGGAAAAACAAACAAAACACTAATAATATTGTTTACAAGTAACTGTATTGATCATCAGAAAAGACTGCAATAAACATTCCTTCCATTAATTTTTCAGGTGCGAAGCGGAAATTGGTCGTGTGTACGCACATGTGACAAAGGTCCAGTTGCACGCCGACTGTTTCACACCGGGCGTAATTCAGCACGAAGTCATGCACGTGCTCGGCATGTTCCACGAGCACAGTCGTCCGGATAGAGATGAGTACGTTACGCTCTTCCCCGAAAACATTCGGTCAGGCGTCGATGCGAGGAACTTCGACAAACTGCCGCTAATGGCGACGTACGGGGTTCCTTATGATTTCGATTCAATTATGCATTACGGCGGCATGGACCTTGCACGAGGCGGCGGCAGGCCAGCAATCGTCAGGAAGAGGAACTCGTATGCAATTGGTCAACGGGGTGGTTTAAGCACATTCGATGTGGCGCGATTGCAGATAGCCTACAACTGCTCGCTAGATAACGCCCGGTTCGAAAAGCGGATATCCGAGCGAAGACTGGATTTAAATTACGGAGCATCAGCACCAGGTTAGAGCTAGTACTATCAACTGTGCCACTGTTGGTTAGTGACTGGTGTTACTTAGCAGCACTGTATTTCCACGAGATTAAAGAGACGGTTTGTAGGCCAGTTCAGCGAATAGGCTCTGGTGTTGCTTTTGCTGCCTGTTCGATATCAATGGCGCTGCTCTACGAGGCGATCAAAAAATCGCCTCTAAAGTCTAAACATTCTGGAAATACAGCAACTTAGATTTTTTATAGGCCAAATTTTTTACAACTGGTTCGACCTTGATTCTATAAGGAAAACTAACGGAATCACGTTACGTCACGGCCATGTGCTTACACGTGAGCAGACAAAAGCAAAGGTAAACTTGGAAAGGTCAACTGAAAAGACGAAGGTAAACGGGCGGCAAAGGCTATCTTGGCCGACCAAAAGATCCAGTCAATCACCAAAGCAAGAACCTGAACTTAACTACCCAACAACAATTACAAATTAATATGAAAGATTTTTATATCAAAGTAATGAGAAGAAATGCTTCAGAGAAACACAACCGAAAACATTTCCCACCCACCCGCAGTCGTCTCGAACAAACATTTCAGCCGCATAGCCGGGGTTACCTTTCCGATGCTCATCTCGCAGTTGCATCGATACGCTCTTTCCGATGGAGTTGTATCTCCCTGTTCTTTTTGAAGGATACATGTGCGACGTTACTGCGCTGCTTTACCAATTTTGATTTTGTGCAGCCAAACAGCTTCCTTATAGCGTCAACGATCTGCCGCTGGTGTAGTTCTCAGCTGCACGTACAGCGCCGGCGTAATCCGCCGTTAACTGTTACCGATGATGGTCAGTAAGGCTATGTTCTGCTGCACTAGCTAAGATTAAAGATGCTCAGGTCTGATTCACGCGTTTAACCTTATGGATGCCGTAGTTGAAGTCATGTTTCGCTTTCCCAAACTGCTTGTAGTATTTTAAGCTTTCATCGACTTCCTCACCAAGGTAGGTTACCGGTTCCGTCACAGCCAAGGGCTGACGTTCATTGACAGGGTTCATTTCCGCTTTTTTCTACCGCTCCTTACAAATGAGCACAGCGTCACACTTTCCGCTAACTGCCAGTTGATTTTCGTTGAACCATTGTCGGGCAGTGACAATTGCTTCGTTCAGATGTTCTGCAGCAGCCGCTTTCATTTTCGCCGTTCGTGCAAGATGGTACCGTCAGCGAAAGCTTCAATTTCCCAGCAGTCACCAAAAATCTGCAAAAGGTCATTAATTTTAAGATACAAAGAGAGCAAACAAAATTCTTGCCAGTTGATGATAACCGGCTTCAGTTTGTGTTCTGTGGCGACTTAGTACTATTAGGCAAAGAAATTATTATGGATCAAATATGATTGCGGCAACCTAAAGCCAGCTAAGGTAGCAAACATGGCGGCTTGCTGCTGAGGTTCCGAAGGAAAATTTACTTGGGGAACTGCAACAAGTGCTGCCAAAATATCTGAAATTAAAGAAAATTGCAATTTTGCAGATAGTGATGGAAACAGAGATACCGTTTCCACGTCGGAAACAATTCCGCGGTTTTCCCAGGAGCCAATGACGGCAGAACAATGTGGACTCCAGTTCACGCCCAACTGCAATCTTCCGGGATATACGGCTAATAACTGTACACTTACCAAGCGCTTTCCATCAATTGCGGCAAGCTCGTCACTTCGGCGGAAATTCGGCAAATCAGCGTCGGAATCTCGAAATATCCGATGAGAGCAATTTTGGTTGATCTGTACGATGGCGAACACATTTCCTTCAACAATTTTGAAACAGTCCGGAAGCAAGCGGTAGCATTATATATCCGCAACTGTATTTCCAGCCGCACCTCACAAAAGCTTACCGCACTCCGCTTCTCTAATTTGTTGAGCTTCCGGTTGAACGACTGCCACGATATGGAGATAAAGAAAACCGACTTCAGCCAATCGACCAACATCAGATTGGCTGTTTTCGAAAACACCACAATTGAGTTACTAGAAAAAGGCACATTTACCGATTTGCCCTCGTTGCGAGTGTTGTCTTTAGAGTCTAAAATGAACACGATGGCTGCCTTTGAGAGACCCATTCGTGAATACCTGAAGAAACTCCATTGCGGTTGTGAATTCCATTGGTTTCGTGATTGGTGGGAAAATAATCCGCAGTTGCTGCGAAAGGCCGCGGAAGGCTAAGTGTACTCTATTCCTCAATCATGGAGAAATTCAGCTTTTCCGAAAGAGACGGTTTATTTGCCTGTTGGCTGCTCGGTGAATCCGTTTCCTGGTGTACCAAATTCCATTGATCACAGCCAGTACAGATTCTCAATCAACGTTCGGACTATAAGTGCGACAAAAAGATAAAAAGAAGAATAACTGCTTCTGCATCATTAAACTGACAAGTTTCTTTAATTATGTTATCACTGATTGACAATACTTTATAACAGCAATATCGCACTGGCTTGGCATCGGACTCATGATATATTGCGTGTTCGATTTTATACCCGAATGAATTAAAACTTTCTCTGGTTTGTTCCAGTTTCCAGCATTGGCAAACCGCAGTGTTTGGATCAGTTAGTGAACTCCATAGACTTTCCGGCTTTCTCCACTATTCCGATGACCGCCGCGGAATGCGAGATCCAGTTCACGACAAACTGTGCACCATTTCGTAACAGAAGCGAATGCCAAACTACTAAGAAGGTGGATATCAAATGCAGCCGAGAAGCAAGCTCGGAAGAAATCAACCGGATGCTAAGAGCTCTCAATAAGGCACCCATGCGTCCTGTATATCTTAGTTCGTTTGATGACTCCGAACTGTCATCGGCAGATCTCGGAGAAGTTCGAAAACAAGTTGTTGCGTACAACCTCAACGATTGCGCAGATCGAAGAGTAACAGGAAGGCTGCGCGAAATGTACCTGCCCAACCTTTTGGACTACAATCTTTACAGATGTCTCAACTTACATGCAAAAAAGGAGGATTTCGAGTATTCACCAAAATTACGAGTAATTGCTTTTTGGAATTCTACATTTCGTACTATCGAGCGCGATACTTTTTCTCAATTACCGGCACTGCGCATATTATCATTGGAAAGGGGAATTCGCTCTGTGCCTATTTTTAGCGCAGATATCAAGGACTATCTGTTCCAACTTCATTGCGGCTGTGATTTCGCACCATTCCGCAAATGGCGTAAAAACAACAAACAGTTACTGCGAATGGCTGAGTTGGGACAAGTTTATTCGCTTCAAGATTTTTACGGCAGCATACCATTCCGACCCGGTGACGTTTATGTTCCCATCGACTGTTCTGCAGATCCTTCTGGAGCAGCATCTATTAACTTTGACCAGGTGGAATTCTCACTGAATGAGCCTTCCTGCTGAATGATCGTTCATGTGTTCAAGCTGTTCAAAATTTTTTCCTTTTCATTATGTCTGGGATGTTCAGAATCGTTTAAAAGTTTGTTCGCAAAGTTCTTCTTTTTCAACTTACGAGTCAGAAGTAGTTATGGGGTAAATTTGGCGAAGCTAGCGCCCTATCGCTGGCGTTGCGCTGGCTGTGACGCAGGATGTGCCGCGGCAGCAACACAATCCTGACGACGCCCTATCGCTGGCGTTGCGCTGGCTGTGACGCAGGATGTGCCGCGGCAGCGGCACGGTACGATGACGCCCCATCGCTGGCGTTGCGCTGGCTGTGACGCAGGATGTGCCGCGGCAGCGGCACGGTACGATGACGCCCCATCGCTGGCGTTGCGCTGGCTGTGAGGCAGAATGTGACGACTGGCGACTCTTGTTGTTAAATCGTTGGTGTACATCGTGCAGTACTCGTATAGTGTGAGCGCCCGTACAGACTTTACTGCGTAACCCTAGCCATATTTATTGGAAAAGACAGATACTTCAACAAATAACCTGGTTAATGCACATAGCAAAATTTCTGCAGACCATCCACGCATCACTTTAACAAATTCCCAAAAAAACGAAATATTTCGGGAAAAAAGATTTTTTTTAAGGGCTAATCAATCTAGAGCAAGTTGCACACAAAGTTATTCAGAAAAAATAACTAATATCTGACAAAATTTCGATTACCACTAAAACGTCATCACTTATTTACCAATAAAAATACTGCAAATAGGTGCCGCAAAAGAAATATTCTTGGAACGATTAACGAAAATCGCTGGAATCCTTCCGTCCGTCAGCGCACCACTCCTTACCGCGAAGCTACACGTTTCAGTTCTTGGCGTTCTTAGGCGCCGGCTCATTCTCCTTTTCCGAGTCGCTGTACTCAACGATATTCTCGCCGTAGTCATCCATTTCCGACTCGCTACTGTCGCCGATATCCTCTCCTGACTCTTCCTCGTTGCTCTGCAAAATTTTATAAAATTTACAAAATATTAACGCTTTGTTTAATTCTTAACTGTCATTCTATTAGCAACAATAATTTTATAAAATACTGCTGCAGTAAATAATAAATTAAAAAATGTATTTATAATCCTTATTAGCAGTACAATATCTGAATAGATAAGTGTTGATAATTGTTGTAGAAAAGCACTAATTATGATTACTTGATACATGTATTTGTTTAACTACCTCCGGCAATTCCAGCGGTTGAACTTGATTTAAGAAGCACTCCGGTGGCTCAATCATGTACACCAAGTTCAAGTCTGCTTGTACCGGGTGAATCCGTCCAGCATGAAAAGCCGCCGCCTGGACGGCGTCCCACTTATCCAGGATCAGACGCATCACCTGTGCCTGCAAAACAATATCCGTTGCATACGTAGTGCGTAATTTTTTTTCAACGGCCGCTCATTACATCCTTATCGGCCGCAATTAAACACAGTATAAATACAAAATTAACGTAATTAAAAACTCCGTAGGCAATGGCCATCAAAATAACAAAAAAATCGCAAACGCAGGCTCACTGCTTTCTAATTAAAATGTTGTTGGAAGCTGTAAATCATTTAACTTAATTAAATTTGTTTTATTTCTGTTCTACTACCATGAGGTTGAAGATGTTGTCGCCCAAATCATGTTCATTGCCATGCTCAAACGCCTACGCTACCGAAAGAATCATGCGGTTGTAATATTCCAGAAAATGGAATTCCTGAAAATAAATGAAAACATTCCACCGAAATACGAGTGTTGTCGGCTATCATTTACGAAGTGCCGTAACGCTGTCCATGTGCATGCAAATAAAGGTCTACAATTAAATCATGAATCATTCGATACTGATCAGTAAATTACTGTTAAATATTTGTCAGTATTTAAAAAAAATTATTTATTCTAATAATTTATTTTTTCAATAATTTTTATTAGTTTTTTAATTTCTTGAAGTTGTTCTTAATTTAAACAGCGTACTCTTTCTCCGTTACGGTCACGCAAAATGGGAAGGCCCGAAATTAACGGCAGCACATTTTCAGGCTGATCGTCCCCGTCGGCGACAGCCGGCTCATCTTCCTCGGCGACGGCCGGCACCACCTCTTCGGCGACAGCCGGCTCATCTTCCTCGGCGACGGCCGGCACCACCTCTTCGGCGACTGCAAGCACAACCTCCTCGGCGACAGCCGGCAGACCCTCCTCGGCGACAGCCGGCAGACCCTCCTCGGCGACAGCCGGTAGAACCTCCTCGGCTTCTCCGGCAACGCCACCAGCGCCTACGCCGACACCATCAACGCCTCCGCCAAGGTCACCAATAGCCTCTGCAGCATTCTCATCCGCTTCTGGCAGAACGACCGCTCCATCCACGCCCACAATGCCTCCGACAAGGGCCACTTGCCCGTTGACTTCAAAA